GTAACTAGATGATATTGGCACGGGAGGAACAGCAAAACAAATGCGTGACGTTAATTTTCCTGTGATGTTAATGAGGAAACTGATTTGAGTCGATATTTGTGTAATTTTATACAAACAAATGTCCTGTTTTCTCGAACAGCTTGATCAGTTAATAATGGTGGAGTGAATCAAAAGAACGGAAGGTACGGATTATTTAAGCAGAAGTCCAGCAATATCACAGCATTAGTCCAGCAACATCACAGCATTAGTCCCGCAACATCACAGCATTAGTCCAGAAACTTCACAGCATTAGTCCAGAAACTTCACAGCATTTCACCAGCAATATCACATCATTAGTCCAGAAGCATCACAGCATTAGTCCAGCAACATCACAGCATTAGTCCAGCAACATCACAGCATTAGTCCCGCAACATCACAGCATTAGTCCAGCAACATCACAGCATTAGTCCAGCAACATCACAGCATTAGTCCAGCAACATCACAGCATTTCACCAGCAACATCACAGCATTAGTCCAGCAACATCACAGCATTAGTCCAGAAACTTCACAGCATTTCACCAGCAATATCACATCATTAGTCCAGCAACATCACAGCATTAGTCCAGCAACATCACAGCATTAGTCCAGAAACTTCACAGCATTTCACCAGCAACATCACATCATTAGTCCAGAAGCATCACACCATTAGTCCCGCAACATCACAGCATTAGTCCAGAAACTTCACAGCATTAGTCCAGCAACATCACATCATTAGTCCCGCAACATCACATCATTAGTCCCGCAACATCACAGCATTAGTCCAGATAGTTGTATCAAGGTTAGATATTTTTTCAGCTACAGATCCAGATTAGTTTTTATTTAAAACTATGAGCCTGCTTTTTGGGGGGTTAGAATTACACTTTGCAACAATGTAATTTTCTATATTTTTCAACAGTCTTGGAGCATAATGATTTCTTTCAAGACAATTCGGGGACAATTTCTGTTTTCAGATAAAATCCCAGTGTTCCACACTGAAAATCACAGGGTAAGTAGTATTGAACATTAACTATCCATACATTGTCAACCATTGAGATATCTGCATTTCCATACAAAACTAGTTGATATCTAGCGGAAATTTGTTCACAACTCATTGCGTTGGCTAGAATACAACTTCAATATTAAAATTAATGACATGGGATTTCGCATGAATCATCATAGTAAGGCCTATTCTGTATAAATCTTTATTTAATTGGCTGGTCATTTGTCTTAGTTTGGTATGAATTATATTCCCAGATAAAGACTTACATCATATAGAGCCATGACCAAGAGGCGATATGTTTAATACCCAACGATCAACGACGACGTCCCATACTTGGAATAATGAGGTTTAGGTGGACATTTTGTCAATGCCGTCTCCGAGTTTAACAGACACATTCCTTTATCCGACAATATTGATTATTTGTCATTTATGTACCATTTGATATGTACATGTTTTGTTTGTTTGTTGTTTAACGCTGCGCTCAGCAATATTTCAGTAATATGACGGCAGTCTGTAAATAATCGAGTCTGTACCAAACAATCCAGATATTGATATCATGAGTATCGATCCACGCAATTGGGATACGATGGCATGCATCAACCAAGTGAGAACCCGTTAGTCGCCTGTCACGGCAAGCAACATGTACGCTGGTCAGTGTGGGGGCCATCTTACATCCCTGTATCTCGCGTGTGACTCAAGTAACAGGTCACTGATAGAGATATCTCAGTATCACGCAAACAAGGCCCAATGGTGGAACAAATAGTAATAACTAACTTTGTTAAGGCGTGAGCTTTGAGCGTTAGGGTATAACGTCTATCTGATATATAATATCGACAATTGTTTGCTGCGTACGTTAAAATCAGGAAGCCATTAACTACCATGTCAAAAATAATCTTTATGTGAGAAGTTTTGTTTATTTGTTGTTCAACGCCGCACTCACCAATATTCCAGCTATATGACGGCGGTCTGTAAATAATAATGTCTGGACCAGACAATCCAGTGATTGACATCATGAGCATCGATCTACGCAATATGGATTTGATGACATGCATCAACTAGGTCAGCGAGCCTGACCACTCGATCCCGTTAGTTGCCTCTTACGACAAGTATAGTCACCTTTTACGGCAAGCATGGGTTGCTGACGATCTATTCTACCCCGGATCTTCACGGGTCTTATATGGGAAGTATTTTCGCTCCTTCGCGGAGTTCATCAGCGTATAAATATTATTACATATTATAGTTAAAATGGATAGAATTATCATTAAACCGCCCGCATATTATCAGAAATGAGCGGGCCACTGTAACTTAATAAAGCCCTCATATTGCTTGACGACGGACCATTATCACGCCCGTTGGTAGGTGACGTCATAGGATAGGGTAGGTGACGTCACGTTCAATAGTGACGTCATCTGGTTTGTTCTATGACGTTTCCATATTTGTAAAAGTGGGTCTGTGACATTCGTATTGATTGCAGTAAATGTTTCAAACCCGATATTGTTGTCATCATCATTGTCATATGTTGACGTCATCATAATATTACACTTTGGCTTTTAACACTCTTCTTGGGGCGGTCGGGTAGCCTAGTGGTTAAAGCGTTCGCTCGTCACGCCGAAGACCCGGGTTCGATTCCCGACATGGGTACAATGTGCGAAGCCCATTTCTGGTGTCCCCCGCCGTGACAATATTGCTGGAATATTGCTAAAAGCGGCGTAAAACCATACTCACTCACTCACGAACACTCTTATTGGAAGTAAATTACAAGACCCATATCCTTGGTCGTCACATCCGGACGCCCTAGACTCACAACATCAATCCTTGGTCGTCACATCCGGACGCCCTAGACTCACGACACCCATCCTTGGTCATCACATCCGGACGCCCTGGACTCACAACAATCATCCTTGGTCGTCACATCCGGACGCCCTAGACTCACAACATCAATCCTTGGTCGTCACATCCGGACGCCTTAGACTCACAACACCGATCCTTGGTCGTCACATCCGGACGCCCTACACTCACAACTTCCATCCTTGGTCGTCACATCCGGACGCCTTAGACTCACAACACCCATCCTTGGTCGTCACATCCGGACGCCCTAGACTCACAACACCCATCCTTGGTCGTCACATCCGGACGTCATCCCATGGTTGTCGTAAGAGGCGACTAACGGAATCGGGTAGTCCACCTCGTTGATGTCATGGTACCCCAATTGCGTCGATCGATGCTCATGATACCTATCATTAGATTGTCTGGTCCAGACTCGATTATTTTCAGCCCGCCGTTATATAGCTGGAATAGTGCCGAGTGCTGCCGACAGTTAACCTACACATACACATTGAATGTTTATGAAATAAACTGCCTCCACATTTTTGACAATTTGGGCGAAAATCTAATGATGAATTTATTGTGGCCTTATTAAGAGATTCCTTTATGAAACCGTATTCATTCAATCAGTGCCGATATCATAGCGGAAACCATACATCAAATCAAACATGGTCAGTAGGCTAACTATGATTGATGAAATGTATCAACGTTTATGGCAGTTTATGGCGCTGTGAAAACTGCACTTGGAATATCTGAGTAGGTCAACACAGAAAACAATAGCGATGTGAAAATAATATTGTGTGTTTAAGCTATTTTATGTTCATATTTACAGTTTACGCCAGTTCATTAATCAGTGGGCAGGAAAACAGTATATTGTAGTCATGGTTTTTCATTTATGTTGTACTTATTACACCAGTTTATAACATTTATCCAAACACACATTATTGGGGTGATTTGGTCCTTTATTTCATAGTATATTTAATCTGACAGTTTATGCACGTAATGATCACACGGATTTCTCTGTCCCGTTGGCAAGTTATACCGAGCCAAATCAAATATATCAAATTTGCCAATTTCTATGAATAAATGACTATTTAATTTTTCATATCTGTCGATGATACTGATTATTTTGGTAACGAAATAAAACAATTATGATTGAAAAACCGGTTTTCAAATTACTGCAAATGGTCAAAGGGCACTAATAGCGTCTATATGTTTAGAGAAGCGCCCGTAAAATATCTACATAACGGTACGTCATCCCACAGGAACACGTGTTTCACAACAAAGTCTTATACAGTCTCACGGGGATGTATTTGGATTGTAATCACTTCCGTTAATTTACAGTATTACATAAAAGGTTTCTATGATTTAAATGTGTCAGTATGAAATATATTGACATCTTAGTTTCTTTACAGGACATAAATTAAAATCGCCATCCACATTAAGGTTATTTTATACAAGTATACCAGTAATTAATTAATATCCTTTCTGTCATTTTGTCTGTTTGTTCGGTGTTTAACGCCGTACTAAGCAATATTCCAGCCGTATGACGGTGGTCTTTAAAAAATCGAATCTGGACCAGTCAATCAAGTGATTGACTTTCATGAGAATCGATCTACACAATTTGGGATACAGCGATCCTGGCCAACCCGATACCGTTATATCTAGTCGCCTCTAACGACAAGCTTCTTTCGGCAAGCATGGGTTGCTGATGACATATTCTCTACCCTGATCTACACGAGCGAGCCAAATTACAACGCAATGCATAACAAATATATCCTGAAAATGAACAAACATTATTGAGGATTACAAGCGAGTGGGGAAAGGTTGTGTATGGTGCCACACTGGTTACAGGCGTTTATAGCGCTACTTTGGTGAAACTTTCCAGTGCTTGGATCATACGTAACCAGAGCGGATTCGAACCCATTAAGAGCGGATCCTGGCAGATCGCTGTGAATAGAAAGACGTACATATTTTGTCTCAGTGATATTAAGAATTCAACAATTAAATGTTTGTTTTGATATTTTCCTGAGTATTTCCAAAGACCCAAATCTATTTTATTGTCTCTGGTATAGTTTATTCACATTGCGCATCGTCGACAGCTCCTTGCTAGACGGAGCCCAGTACAACCCGGAAGTGTGGCATAACGGGTCACGTTGTTATCATGTGACTTGTCGAGTATGGCGACTTCCAGTGAACGGTGATCTGTTCCACCCGTGTAATACAGCACTCTGAGAAACGCAGGAAAGGGTGCACATCTCTGGATGTCTTGAAGTATATCACGGCTTTACAATGAGTGTGTTAGAGAGTATCAAGGGAACTTTCCACAGTGTACAGCAGGATATATTTGACGGGTAAAGTTTCTGTCATGTGGTTGACTTTCTAAACATTGATAATGACGTTGACGAACAACAGGAGCTGTTATCATATTGTCATCATATATATTGTTAAATGGGGTTCAGATAACATTGGAATGTACTTGCATGTATTGAATAACTCACTTCTGATCGGTATAGTGTTATATTCTCCTGCAATGCACGACCAGCCCCGTCAATATCAAGAAAGCAGTGAAAGTAGCGAGTTTCCGGGAGGTTATCTCAATGTTGCATTAAAGGTGCAAGTGCAGATTTTAAAGGGTGTCAGCCATTTTTTATGTACATGATGTGAAGTTGATTTTATAAGAAATATGACATACATTATTTGATGCATTGCAGGGATGAGGTGCATAGTTAACACAAGTCCTCACTAGATCTCATGGGGTGCAGGCTAAAACCGCACTTCAGCAAAACTCGACCGATTTCTCTGGCGAAACGGGCACCGCTTTTGGCGAAAACGGCACCTCTATTTTTAATAACGATAACAACGATTTTTGTAGTAAAATATAGATCTATGGTTTATTTACATGGTATGTGATGAGTCTTGACTGTAGAGGCAACAGACTGGCCTCTCTGAAGAGCTCCGGGATCAATCTGTAGATTCCCAGGCACTGCTCACCCACCTTGTTATTGATACGTCTATGTGAGATATATAAGTTGAGTTCACAATAAGTTGAGTTGCGTATAAGCTAAGTTGGATTATAGTTGGAGTAGAGGCTAATTTCTAATGTAAACTTGTTTTAACATCTCACAATTATTGGCGTTTGCAAGTTACAATGTAAGTTTAATATCATTTATTTGACCAAGGTAAAAAAAAATAAGGTGCTGTTTTTGCTTGAGTCGGGATGCTGTTTTCGCCAATGGGTGCCGTTTCTGCCCGGTGACGTTTTGCTGAAGTGCCGTTTTCGCTATAACTCATCTCATGTTCTTACCCTGCACAAAATGTATAATAATGTTCCAGATTGTAATTCTCAATACTTACTTAAGGCTGAAGGCGCTTACATCGTTAGATGCACAGCCTCGAATTGACATCCTCAGACGGCTGCGGACAGATGGAGTCAGTCTAGATGCAGGGGCTGATTTGCTCAACAAGTAAGTTCATAATGTATGTTACTGCTCATAGGTTGGTGTGGGCAGATGTTAGATATTGTGTGTGTGTGAATATCGGTCTCTGAGCAGGTCTAGATAAATTCCTGCTTGACTATCCAAAGATTTGTTAATCTGGAATAATTTGGAATTTCATCAATTTGGACAATTTCGCTTGGGATGGTGCTGCTTGGAACAACAGCGTTAACTGTTTAACTTCAGTTTGTTTTCTGATGTTGTAGATATCAGAGGACATGGAAAGAACTCCAGACATGCACATCTCACACAGCCAAAAAGGCAGAGGTGAGTCCTTTTCATGCACAGTAGGCAATGGATATTTTAGAACAATAACTGGCTTAAATTTTTAAATCTGTCAGAATCAGGCACACACAAAAGTTCAAAGAATTGCAGTGATTATTATATTTTCTTTTATCGATGAGTAGACACTTACGAAAACCTAATGTTGCCGTTATGGTAGCATAATATTCAATAAAATATTAAGTAATTGAGGTAAGAGAAAATAATTGAAATTACGAGAAAAACTTGAAATCTTGATACAGTTTTATCAATATTCAAAATAAGGAGAAATTTTCGAGTGAAATAAGAAGTGAAATAACGAGAAAACATTAGGCTGTTGTAGAAAGCAAACCCTATTCAGGAACGGAAAAATATCTTGGTACATCTTGATTTATAATTACCAATACCTGTTGCCTTTTTGCTTATGAAGTATGGCTGTGACTTGTTCGTCTAACTGTTGTGCAGGAGGTGGACAGCGAGATCGGTCAGCTGTACAGCAAGTGGAACAGACAGGTGGACACGGTCAGTCAGCTGGAGGAGGAGGTGGCCGAACTACCCGATGTCGTCACGCTCATCAAGAAACTGACCACAGATCTTGGTAGGTGTGTCAGAAATTGTATTTACGCCAAATATAGTGATAAAGTGACAAACAATGTGTTGATGATGGAGAGTTGACATAAGAATGTCAACTTTTTTATCGTTTCTGGCAGACTCTGATTGTCTGTCATGGCTTTATATTGAGCCCAGTTCGATTGGCTTGATGCTAAGGCTAGTCGTCCTGTGAAATTGGTGATACGAGTGAGAGAAATATTGCGCTTAGTTAGGGATGGGTATGGTTGATGTGGTGACATCACTTTCGAAACAAAGCTATGGTGGTGAACCTGGGGACCTGTCATTACAAGATGGAAACTATTATACATGTACACTGGAGGATGAGGATGACAGTCAGCCATGTGTGTCTCTGTCCCCAGGGTACATCAGGCGAGACTGTGAGGGGGTGGAGGGGGCCCTGGAGAGGTTGGAGAATGTCATTGATGAACTGGAACAGCAGAAGAACGTGAAAGCCCACCTGGCTCAACTTGCTACCTACAAAAAGAAGAAGATGGAAGAGGTACAGAAGGTGAAAGGTCAGTTGGAAACGTTAATCACAATTATTGTTGATGAGAGGCTGTGTGAGATCATGCCCTTCACATGTGAGGTCTTGATGTGAGATATTGCCGTAAATTCTTGATGTGAGATATTGCCGTAAGGTCTTGATGTGAGATATTGCCGTGAGGTGGTCTTGATGTAAGATATTGCTGTAAGGTCTTGATGTGAGATATTGCTGTGAGGTCTTTATGTGAGATGTTGCTGTAAGGTCTTGATGTGAGATATTGCTGTAAGGTCCTGAAGTGAGATATTGCCGTGAGATCTTGATGTGAGATATTGCCGTGAGGTCTTGATGTGAGATGTTGCTGTAAGGTCTTGATGTGAGATATTGCCGTGAGGTCTTAATGTGAGATATTGCCATGAGGTCTTGACGTGAGATATTGCTGTGAGGTCTTGATGTGAGATATTGCCGTGAGGTCTTGATGTGAGATATTGATGTGAGATATTGCCATGAGGTCTTGATGTGAGATTATGCTGTCAGGTTTTGCTGTGAGGTCTTGATATGAGATATTGCTGTAAGGTATTACTGAAAATTCTTGCTGTGAGATATTACTGCAAGGTCTTGAGTTATATTGCTGTGAGATCTTTGTGAAAAACTTTTGTGATGTCTTGCTGTGAGATATTGCTGCAAGGTCTTGTGAGATAATGCTGAAAAATCTTTCCGTGAAGTCTTGGTGGAAAATATTTATGAGCAGTTCGTGATCGTGATGAAAAATCTTTCTGTGAGGTCTGGCTGTGAGATATTGCTACATAATGCACTACAAAACATTAACATTCTAGAAAGAAATGTATTAGTTGTTTTTATAACCGGTTTGAAAAGACCAAGTGTATTATGATTCTATCTGTCTTCTTTACACTACAGGGCGGTCGGGTAGCCTCGTGGTTAAGGTGTCGCTCGTCACGCCGAAGACCCGGGTTCGTTTCCCGACATGGTTACAATGTGTGAAGCCCATTTCTGGTGTCCCCCGCCATGATATTGCTGAAATATTGCTAAAAGCGGCGTAAAACCAAACTCACTCACTCACTCTTTACACTACATCCTAACTATCAGTGTAAGGTCTGACATGTCTCGGTGTGGCTGGAACCTCTGGAATACTGGAGACCAAACAAACACAACAAGGATGGAACCTGGTGATTATATGATATTGTTTTCTCCCTTCGTTCATGACAGTGACAGACTATCTGGTCTGTTATTCACTCAGTATGATGCATATTGCACCATGTTTCAATGGAGACTATTACACTTACGTTAGCGTTATACGGTACTTTTGCAGTTCAAATGGCTAAGAGTCACGCAAGGGCAATGCAGGAATGTGATCGGCGTCGCCAGGCGGATCTGAAGGAGAGACAGGAAGCCTTCAGCGAGGCCTTCACTGAAGACATGGACTTCTACAAGACACATGGACACACAGAACGTAAGACAGACACTACAGACAGACACTACAGACAGACACTACAGACTGGCAGAATAGGGCCCTCCTTTGTTGCATGAGGTGTCCCTTAATGCAGTGTTGAAATAAGCAGCTGCCCTTAGGCCCGTGGCAAGTAAATATTGTGTTGGGCTCATAGTTTAAATTTGTATGGGTCCTTGTGGCCTGCAGTAAATGTACTTGTCAAATTATTTAGCCTTGTGGTTAAAGCGTTGGCTCGTCACGCTGAAGACCTGGGTTCGATTCCCGACATGGGTACAAAGTGTGAAGCCCATTTCTGGTGTCCCCCACCGTGATATTGCCGGAATATTGCTAAAAGCGGCTTAAAAACCATACTCACTCACTCACTCACTCACTATAAGCTGTAGTGTTTTAAATGAGGGCCTGACTACTTCAGTCAGGGCCTGCAGCATCTAAAGTCTGTGGGTCCTGATGACATCCTGGTATTTTATATTTCAAACACTGCCGTAATGTCTGACCATCTAGTGGTGGTGTAACAATACATTGGTACATACGATACATACGATACATACGATACATTACATTACAAGTTATGTTGGTGTGAAAACACGTGAATAATAACAGATTTAAAAAGATGAACACAACCAGCTCACACAGATTCTCTGGTATTTCCTGGTATGTATAACATTCACATCTCGCATTTTCCATCTCGGGAATTTGAAAACAAATGATTCAGGGTTGTGATTAACCTGCAGAAAAGAGGGAATATTATCTGATGAAATTAAAGGAGGGAGAGGAAAGGTGGATGAAGACTAATGGTAACTGATGTGGGATTGGCTTCCGTTACTAAAACATCTTGTGATGTGGTATTTTCACTATGTGTTGTCGATTATCAAAACTTGAGGAACCTGAGTCTACCGATGTAACCACATTCCGGCAACCAGGGTTAGGGTAGTACTGAAAAACAAAATAAATGTTTCATTGCGTGACAAAAACTGCCATTGTATCTTTTCTGTTAAACGCATGTAAAATGACAGGAAAGTACAAAATATCCTTTAGAACATCACACAGGGATGCAAAATCACCATCATAGTTACTGTTGTTATTCTAAAGTATTCAACAATCGAGAGTTACATCCCTGACACATATCACAACATATATATGGAATAAATACCTAGTTAATTATATTCCTTAAAATGCTTGAATGACTGAGTAAATGAAACTAATGAGCTTTACTAATGATGCTGGCATGTGTATCACTGGTCAACCCACCCCTTGTTCCAGAGCTGAAGGTGTCTGACATTCCAATGCCTAAGGTCAGCAGCCTGAGTGACATCACGATAGACGACGACCAGATGATCATCAACAGCTTCCTCGCTTCCACGGAAACAACGCCGTCCAAGGAGAGAGCTTCCGGTAAGACAAACACCAGTTGGGCTGAACACAACTTCCTCTAGACTCCTTGTGCTCTGAGTGGACCATTGATTCAGACACAATCAGGACAACGTGGATCCTGAGGCAGGTGTACTCCTTGTGCTCTGAGTGGACCATTGATTCAGACACAATCAGGACAACGTGGATCCTGAGGCAGGTGTACTCCTTGTGCTCTGAGTGGACCATTGATTCAGACACAATCAGGACAACGTGGATCCTGAGGCGGCTGTACACCTTGTGCTCTGAGTGGACCATTGATTCAGACACAATCAGGACAACGTGGATCCTGAGGCAGTGTACTCCTTGTACTCTGAGTGGACCATTGATTCAGACACAATCAGGACAACGTGGATCCAGAAGGAGGGTGCTATGGGTGAACAAACAGCTTTTCTTAAACAAAGTGTACATACATTTGGAAGTTGTACAGGTAATCTGGTGTGCAGAGTGTAAAGCTTTGCAACACTACAACCAGCGATACAATGGTATTGGGCGGTATGTTTTTTTGGGGGAAAAATCACACGAGTACCAAACACAAGTTAACTCAAGGACTATGTGTAGTCGTGTTGTACTTGTTGTATGTTAACATGTATCCGTCACCCGTCTATTCCTCAAAATTTAATCTGTGCTTGCTTCAAATGATGTCAACAACTACAGACACTATTTGGACATAATTATGACCATGTGGTGATGCTTGTGTAACAAATGGTTTGGGTGATGTGTCTGGGGGAGCATTCATTGAGCATGTTGAGAAATGTCTGAGTGAGATGATAGTTATATAGATGACCTAGGTGATGCGTCTGAGGGAGCATTCATTGAGGAAAAGTCTGATTGTGATAATGTTTTACAGATGAGCTAGGTAATGCGTCTGAGGGAGCATTCATTGAGGAAAAGTCTGATTGTGATAATGTTTTACAGATGAGCTAGGTGATGCATCTGAGGGAGCATTCATTGAGAAAAAGTCTGATTGTGATAATGTTTTACAGATGACCTAGTTGATGCGTCTGAGGGAGCATTCATTGAGGAAAAGTCTTATTGTGATAATGTTTTACAGATGAGCTAGGTGATGCATCTGAGGGAGCATTCATTGAGGAAAAGTCTGATTGTGATAATGTTTTACAGATGAGCTAGGTGATGCATCTGAGGGAGCATTCATTGAGGAAAAGTCTGATTGTGATAATGTTTTACAGATGACCTAGGTGATGCGTCTGAGGGAGCATTCATTGAGGAAAAGTCTTATTGTGATAATGTTTTACAGATGAGCTAGGTGATGCATCTGAGGGAGCATTCATTGAGGAAAAGTCTGATTGTGATAATGTTTTACAGATGAGCTAGGTGATGCATCTGAGGGAGCATTCATTGAGGAAAAGTCTGATTGTGATAATGTTTTACAGATGACCTAGGTGATGCATCTGAGGGAGCATTCTTTGAAGACGATTACACGGCAGAGTACAACATACAGGATGATGAAGACATCTTGGAGGATGATATCGACAAGATGGCTCATGAGCCTGCCGAGGGGGAAGAAGTTGTGGAAACTGGCGGTGTGAATATAGACTCAGACGATGCAGACATCCTTCCAACACAGAAGACGGATGCAGCAGGGGATGGAGAAGAAAGTGGCGCAGAAAAATCAGATAAGCAGTCCGAACCTTCCAACAATGTCACCGACCGAGATCAGTCTACAGAGGACACACCAAGCTAGTTGAGACTTAGCTGAGGTCACTTTATTGTGAAAAACTACATCGTGACCAATCTCAGTGATATTACACATACTGCTTATAGTCTCTCTCTTCATACGATTACAAGATAAGTAAAAATGTATTTGCTTAAAACGTTAAACATACTTCCAGATTGAGTCAGGGACTGCCTGAGAAGCCATTGCTAGGTAACTGGGTACATTCAGCATGGTTAAGATACTGGAGGTTCATTAACTTCCTGGTGACAGGTGTGGCACGTCAGACCCATGTATGGTGCGTACAGATATAAATGCAACTAACGTCCATACAAGTTGGGGTCACAAAGACCTGTACCTTGATTCATACTGTTCCTGAATGTAGAACTGTATTTAGTGACTTGTTTACCTAGTTGTGCTACCTTTAGCACCCAGGAAACACAGGCGTGCTTCCTTTGAAATTCATGATATACTACATTTGATAGACTACTACATTGGGCTGAAACAAGTGAAAATCCACTGATGGTAGTGGTCTTAGTCTGGTAGCATTTGAGGGCTACAATTCTGAACCAGTTCCCAAGGCTTCAGTTTTGCTACAAACTGGAACTGAATAAAACTGGTTTGGTATGTGGTCTGTTATTTTGAGGATAGAGCTCCTTTATACACATGCTTAGTAGTCATATCTGGTAGGTGGTGGAGCGTGTCATATTGCGATCCAACTGTCGAGAGACATATCATATATTGAAGATACTATCGTTAAACGCTAATCTTTGAAAAAACACCTTTAATTTTATGCAATTATAGTAATAGACATTTTACGATGATCAACATGGAAATTGAAAAATAGGAAAAGTCGGACCTTACGTATGAGGAACATGTTCACCTGGGATTCAGGGACCCAAGTTGCATTTCCCAGGAAAAGTATTTTTGGTACAAACATGCTTGAAACCATGGTAACAATAATATGAGATTAGGCATGTCTCATTACAGACCATTCAGTGATGACACTAATCTAGGATGTTATCAGATTTATCACACATTGGACCTCATTAATCCAGACACCTGTTATTGTAATTGTATTGTAATATGTCTGGATAACTGAATACTCTGTGTACCTGTCTAGTTGATGTGGTTAAAATGTCCAGGACAGAGGTAGATAGTATCATGCTCCCACACTCAGCTGTTACCGGTGTGATACAGGATGATAAGTAGTCAGTAGCTAGGTGCTACTATCAGGCACCTGATGATCTTTGGTATGTTTATTGTTGTTCAAAATGCAATGCAAGTATTTCGTTATTTATGCATAGATGTGATGCAGTTCCTCACAGGGATGTTATACCTCATGTAGCTCAGGACGTGCACGTAGGTACCTAGGTGATCAATGTTTTTTGTTTGTTTGTTTTTTGTTTAACGCCACACTGAGAAATATTCCAGCTATATGACGGCGGTCTGTAAATAATGAAGTCTGGACCAAACAATCCAGTGATTGACATCATGAGCATCACTCAACGCCATTGGGATACGATAACATGCATCAACCAAATCAGTGAGTCTGACCTCCCGATCCGTTTAGTCGCCTCTTATGGCAAGCATGGGTTGCTGAAGATCTATTCTAAATCGGATTTTCACGGGTGAAGTGATGAATGTGGCAGCGAGGTCTGCGTGATGAAGGGTCCTCCCTGTGTGGAGGGCCCGGAAATGTCCAGAGAGTTGTATAAATATTTCCACGGTTACCGAGTAGATGTGTTGATGGGCTTCCCGTACTTCCATGTAAGGCGTTACATTATTGTTTGTTTGATCACAGACTGTTTCCTGCTGAAGTCCTAAGTTGGGAAGTAGAGATTAGACCTGGCCAGAGACAAACACCGATAGATATTTGCCATTTGGATTGATGATGGTGCTACTGATAAAAGAGCAGTTCCCTATGGTCCATCGTCTTTAGTCTTCCCCTGATGTGCTATTGCTGGAATAATGCTATAAGTGGTGTAATAACCAACTCACTCACTCACTCACTCAACTGTACTTCGATAACTGATGGAGTAAGTTTGACAGTCTGTGTGTCAAGGACAAAGGACAGAGCTCAAGGTTTGTTAGGCCTGGAATATTAGTGCATTTCGTGATTTTTGTCAGCGGAATAAATGTGTAATTTTTTGTGATAGAATTTCATTTTTTTCCGAAAATAAGATGAGTAGATCCGTGATGCCAAAAGTAAGACCTAATGGCCTAACAAATGGATAACAAGTGGATAACAAGCGGATAACAAGGGGATAACAAGTGGCAGTGGGGTGTGTTCTCTCACGGATGTGTCTGATTGTCCATGTGGGTAGTCTGTGAAGATTGCTCCAGGTGTCTCTGCTGTCATATTGATTGTTGCTTCATGCAGAATTAGAACACTATTCAATGTATAGAATGTGAAGTTTGTCTATATATATTATAGACAGAATATTTTATGTTGTTTCTGCAAAGGAATTTTATGACAGTTGTTTTATTTTGATATTATATGTCTGTTAATACCAGCTATTGCACATGATGGATACTAGTTAGCGCACACTTTTAGTAGGTGTTAAAAGACATCATAGATATGAAACAATACTCATGAGGGGGTCTCAGTGGATATACCGGTACATATTGATTTGATGGTTATTAGTTTGTACTTCCCTTCCATTTTTTAACATATATTTAGACATGTTCCATCTGTATTTATTTCCCCCCCCCCCCCCCCCCCCCTCACACACACACTTCTCCCTCCGTCTGTCCAGACCTCGTGACATCATATTATCATTATCTGGGAATGGAGGTGATTCACATGAGTGAGTGAGTGAGTTGGGTTTAACGCCGCTTTTAACAGTATTCCAGTTATATCACGGCGTGTCAGCTTAATGTGGGAGGAAAGTCGAAGTGATGCAGGTCTCTTTACCACTTCGGTGAAACCCACGAGCACGGGTATGGTGCTGACAAACCTAGAAACATAATCGGGGCAAACCTGGATTCGAACCCACAATCATGGGTTTCTGGCGTGCCCAAGGGACGCAACTCTGCACAGCGAATTGCGCTTTAGACGACTGGGCCACCAAGGCCCCCTGATTCAAAAGAAGCCTGTTTAGTATGTCGATGTATGTGGTGGATTTCATCAAGTCTGTCAACAAGGTTAATTAAGAAGGGGTTGCATGAGAGTGTTTCTACGTCTGTATGTACTTGAGACAATGATACGAGTAGTAGTGAGGCATGTAGGCTGAATAATTACTTAATAATGGCATTATAATAATTGTTGCCTGCCATGTCTAGACAGTGTCTGGTATCCACATCTAGACCATGTCATGTTCACAGTTATTCAACCAAGCAAATATCGGCCATCGGTCCTCTGGTAATACAGAGACACCTGGTGGTCACCTGTTCTATCTACAGTGTGTGAGTGAGTGTATACCTCTCTATCTTGTCTTAAGGCCAGACACATTTAGTTCCTGGTTTTACAAGTGAGTTCTACCCTGTATGCAACAAAAGGGCCAAACACATTGTACATTTGAAGAAACAAACGCTGTTAAATTGATAAAATGCCATGTAAGACCTTCGTGTCAAGATTTTGTTAAAATGAAACACATTATTAATCCTGACCACTTTTTCTTTTACATACCGTATTCGACATAATAAGCGCCCAGGGCGCTCTCAAAATTAGAAATAGGGGGCTCTTATTAGAATATTATTTTGGTGAAAAAAAACAGAGTTGAAAGATCGTAAATTTCGTGGTTTATGCTGACAGCCTGAAATGTTTACATACGACAGATATATTTTTCCAGAATTCAATTGCCCATAATTAAGGGTGCATATAAGACACAAGTGCGTATTATACGCGAATAAATAAGTCTTGTGTACATTGATCAATCGGAAGGGGTGTTAATGATGCCATTGGCGCTTATTAGAGTGGGGCGCTTATTACATCGAATACGGTATTTGTCTACTTGTCATTTTAACCAAGATATTGGTAACATAAGAAATTAGGGTTGGTCAGGTCTGTTGAGGAACTAGATTGCTGTCATGCAGGGGGGTTGCCGATGTGGGTCAGACCCGTGTACTGAAATATACAATAGCTGGATGGGTTTGTCCGGGTACAACAGTTATCTAAGTTGGTGCTGTCTCCATGTTGCTTGTGCCCTATAGTGAAGCACTAGTGTCTAGCGGTGGTAATGTACATGCAAAAAGGAAATATTGAACTCACAATGATACACTCACAAATCTTTTTATTCTTGTCAGATGATTAAAGACATCTTCAGTGACTAAGTCACTGTGGTAGAAACAATAATTTAACAGAATCATGTATAGTTTACACTAAAATATAGCAAAATGCACTGAATGTCCATCAAAACCTATTTCATTTGAAAACTTCTTTTTGTCAGGTTTTTCACACGTTAATTGTTTTCTTTCAAATGTTCTAAATCCACAGAAAGCTCTTTCTGAATTAGTACATTAGCGATTATGAAACAATGAGTATGTTGATGAAACAGTCAGTGGTACCACTGTCCATGCTGATACTCCCCCACTTCGTGGGGCGATATGAAGCGTAAACCATTAGGATGACATCATGCTATTGTTGTGCAGTTGATTCGGAGCCAGGAAGTCACTGGCCATTCTGAACAAAATGTGAATGAGAAGGCCGGGGCATGTTGATTCTACTTCCTGAATCAACAGATCCGAGTGATTTCTTCGAATTAAACCATGTTTTGGTCGATACATATATATATAATTACTTTCTAATTTTGCATAATGACCTCCAGTTGCGTCAGCTTTCTTGGAAAGGTACGCGTTAAGAATGACAAGTTACCTCCTGGCTCAGAATAAACTGCAACAACAATAGTGTGACGTCATCACAATGGCTTAACACTCGTTATTGTTGTATGTTCTTGCCGGAACCTGGGACTGGAGAACCTAGACTTGCCTGTAATATTTTTACCCCCTGCTATGTCTGTGTGTGATTATCAAATCTTTGTGTGTGTGGTTTGCCACTGTGCTACAGTAATGTCATACGTAGGTGTACAGCAACAAGCTATGTTGATTAGGATATGTTGAAAATATTTTTTGATTAATTTGATTGTTAAAACTGCAATTATTTTATGCAAAAATATAATAAATCCATTCCATAAAAAGACATTTGTTATGTGGTGAATGCCAGGGGGATGCAAGGAGGGTGCCAGGGGGATGCCAGGAGGATACCAGGGGGATGCCAGGAGGGTGCCAGGGGGATGCCAGGAGGGTGCCAGGAGGGTGCCAGGAGGGTGCCAGGGGGATGCCAGGAGGGTGCCAGGAGGGTGCCAGGGGGATGCAGGAGGGTGCCAGGGGGATGCAGGGGGATGCCAGGAGGGTGCCAGGGGGATGCCAGGAGGGTGCCAGGGGGATGCCAGGGGGATGCCAGGAGGGTGCCAGGAGGGTGCCAGGGGGATGCCAGGAGGGTGCCAGGGGGATGCCAGGAGGGTGCCAGGGGGGTGCCAGGAGGGTGCCAGGGGGATGCCAGGGGGATGCCAGGAGGGTTCCAGGAGGGTGCCAGGGGGATGCCAGGAGGGTGTCAGGGGGGTGCCAGGGGGATGCCAGGGGGATGCCAGGGGATTGCCAGGGGGGTGCCAGGGGGATGCAGGAGGGTGCCAGGGGGATGCCAGGGGGATGTCAGGAGGATGCCAGGAGGATGCCAGGGGGATGCCAGGAGGGTGCCAGGAAGGTGCCAGGGGGATGCCAGGGGGATGCCAGGAGGATGCCAGGAGGGTGCCAGGAGGGTGCCAGGGGGGTGCCAGGGGGATGCCAGGAGGGTGCCAGGAGGATGCCAGGAGGGTGCCAGGGGGATGCCAGGGGGGTGCCAGGGGGATGCCAGGAGGGTGCCAGGGGGGATGCTAGGGGGATGCCAGGAGGGTGCCAGGGGGATGCCAGGGGGATGCCAGGAGGGTGCCAGGGGGATGCCAGGAGGGTGCCAGGAGGGTGCCAGGGGGATGCCAGGAGGGTGCCAGGAGGGTGCCAGAGGGATGCCAGGGGGATGCCAGGAGGGTGCCAGGAGGGTGCCAGGGGGATGCCAGGAGGGTGCCAGGAGGGTGCCAGGAGGGTGCCAGGGGGGTGCCAGGGGGATGCCAGGAGGATGCCAGGAGGGTGCCAGAGGGATGCCAATGCTGGCATCTTAATGGTTCCCAGGGGAGTTCAGCGAATCAACACTTTTATCAACACTTTGATCAAGGACTGGTCAGCTGGTCAGCTCAGAGTCGGTATTCTGTGTTAGACTGGAGTCTCCATCTTACACTGATACATGGCATCTCAGGGGGCTGGCACTATACAGACACAGACAGACCGACACATACATACACATTCACATGTGCATGCACATCGCTATATAAGTGCGGTGGCCCAGTCGTCTAAGGCGCCGCGATTGGCTGTGCAGAGTTGCATCCAATGGGCACGCCAGAAACCTACGATTGTGGGTTCGAATCCCCATTCGCCCCAATTATGTTTCAAGGTTTGTCAGCACCATACCCGTGGGTATGTGGGTTTCACCGACGTGGTAAACGTCTGAGACCTGCATCACTTCGGGCACACTGCGATATAACTGGAACACTGTTAAAAGCGGCGTGAAACCCAACTCACTCCCTCACTATATAAGTGCAATAATCTTGAACGCAGTGTTAAACCCCATTTCATTTCAAATTGTCAGAACTTGGTTGCCCTCGTGTGATCACACTTCTTAACCAGTGCCTATGCTATCCTATGCTGGTTGTAAGAGGGATCTAATTTGACTGGATGGTTAGACTCCCTGAGTTCAACAGATGTTCTATATACAGATTGAAAGTAATCCTGGGTGCCATTGTACAAAGCAGCCTTACCTCTGTGATTGTTGTAAGTCTGTGTTAAGGTATGGGAGTTGCGATCACCTAAGATGCTAAGATTGCTTTGTACAACGGCATAGAGAGGGGTCGGGGGTTCACAGTGTACCTCCGGTATGGTTCATGGTTCTTGGCTAACTGGACGAATGACTGTTGAGAGGTAATAAAAACAAAACAAAACATTGTTTCGCATCATGTAGCATAAACAATTCATAAAAATGCCACACGGTTCGCAGAAAGCAGAGTGTGGCATTCGTTGCCCGTGCTGCAAGTAGATTCTACACTGGATGCATTGCAGTCGTCAGTTCAGGCTTTTCATTCAATGGAGCAAAACACACTTCATTTTTCGTTGTCGTTGACCAATATTCGTGGTCCTTATAGATATAACGTGGACCAATATTCATGGTCCTTATAGATATAACGTGGACCAATATTCGTGGTTCTTATGGATATAACGTGGACCAATATTCGTGGTCCTTATAGATATAACGTGGTCCAATATTCGTGGTCCTTATAGATATAACGTGGACCAATATTCGTGGTCCTTATAAATGTAAAGTGTGTTCCCATGATAAAGAAGTTGCCATCCATAAATTCTCTTCCTTAAGTGTGGACTTGCTCCTAGAGTTAGTGGTTTAGTCCTAGAGTTAGTGGTTCAGTCCTGGAGTTAGTTGTTCAGTCCTGGAGTTAGTGGTTCAGTCCTAGAGTTAGTGGTTTAGTCCTAGAGTTAGTGGTTCAGTCCTAGAGTTAGTGGTTCAGTCCTGGAGTTAGTGGTTCAGTCCTGGAGTTAGTGGTTCAGTCCTGGAGTTAGTGGTTCAGTCCTAGAGTTAGTGGTTTAGTCCTAGAGTTAGTGGTTCAGTCCTAGAGTTAGTGGTTCAGTCCTGGAGTTAGTGGTTCAGTCCTAGAGTTAGTGGTTCAGTCCTAGAGTTAGTTGTTCAGTCCTGGAGTTAGTGGTTCAGTCCTAGAGTTAGTGGTTCAGTCCTAGAGTTAGTGGTTCAGTCCTGGAGTTAGTTGTTCAGTCCTGGAGTTAGTGGTTCAGTCCTGGAGTTAGTGGTTCAGTCCTAGAGTTAGTGGTTCAGTCCTAGAGTTAGTTGTTCAGTCCTGGAGTTAGTTGTTCAGTCCTAGAGTTAGTGGTTCAGTCCTGGAGTTAGTGGTTCAGTCCTAGAGTTAGTGGTTCAGTCCTAGAGTTAGTTGTTCAGTCCTGGAGTTAGTGGTTCAGTCCTGGAGTTAGTTGTTCAGTCCTAGAGTTAGTTGTTCAGTCCTGGAGTTAGTGGTTCAGTCCTAGAGTTAGTGGTTCAGTCCTAGAGTTAGTTGTTCAGTCCTGGAGTTAGTTGTTCAGTCCTAGAGTTAGTTGTTCAGTCCTAGAGTTTGTGGTACAGTCCTGGAGTTAGTGGTTCAGTCCTAGAGTTAGTGGTTCAGTCCTGGAGTTAGTGGTTCAGTTTCTTTATTTTAATCTATTCAATAAGAGAATCACGTTTAGTTCCCCATATGTGTCATCATAAGAGAATCACTTTTAGTTCCCCATTTATGACATCATAAGAGAATCATGTATAGTTCCCCATATATGTCATCATAAGAGAATCATGTTTAGTTCCCCATATGTCATCATGAGAGAATCACATTAAGTTCCCCATAGATGTAATCATAAGAGAATCACGTTTAGTTCCCCATATATGTCATCATAAGAGTGAGTGAGTGAGTATGGTTTTACTCCGCTTTTAGCAATATTCCAGCAATATCACAGCGGGGGACACCAGAAATGGGCTTCACACATTGTACCCATGTCGGGAATCAAACCCGGGTCTTCGGCGTAACGAGCGAACGCTTTAACCACTGGGCTACCTGACCGCCCCTCATCATAAGAGAATCACGTTTAGTTCCCCATATGTCATCATAAGAGAATCACGTTTAGTTCCCTATTAATTGTATAGGTTCATGTGGTGTTAGAAGGACGGAAGGTAGACACGTGATCGTCGCCTCCCACAATGATTCTCCTCCATGACCTGGATATGACCTTGTACCGGCCTGGGCCAGTATCTTGGGAGCATTGCCAAGGTAACACTGGCATGACAACTTTGTTTGATCTATACACCCTAAATATGAGAATTCAGAATTATTGTTATTAGTTGTTTAAGAAAAAAACACATCTATTTGTACCCAAAGGAAAGGGCCCAGGGTTGTGTAAAACCTCTCACACTGTCCTTGTAGTGACTTCAGTTATACCTGATCTTTCAAAAGCTATACACATCTCTTTCACACTCTTCAAAACTGCTGTATAAAACAAATAAAGTCTCTCCAATGTATAAATAGCTTTATTTGTGTATGGCTATCACATGCTGGTGGGGCAGTGCCATCTCAACAGTACACATCACAGGATCTGGAGCGCAGAAATCAACATATACTTATGGAAAACAATGAGGGAACAATGTTAATTGTCTTGGTAATAGTGGCACCTCATATCCACTGAATACGACAGTCCAGTCCTCAAGATTTCATGGCATACAAGAATTTTCTGTATCTGTCCCCTTATTAATTTCATTCAGTATATATTTGTTCACAAATAAACAATAACATCACATGATCGCTATCTATCACAATCACAACCATCTTCCAATAGTCCAATCAAAATTGTGTAACAAAATCCACATCCGGTTCATCAACTGCAGTGCAGATTTCGGTCAACTGCCGTGCAGATTTCGGTCAACTGCCGTGCAGATTTCGGTCAACTCCAGAAGTTGAAAAACAAGTGAACCATCAACATACTGTCAACAGAAATTTCCCAGATGTTTTGATCAAGATGCTCACGTGGTTTGATGCACTTCGCAAAGTAAGGCCCGTTTTGTTACAATACAGATCTTGATAATCGATCAGATCGTCTTCACTAGGCGCCGCCTTTATGTTTGAAGCAAATGTAAGTGATATGAGAGGTGGATTCTGATTGGTCAATAGAAGGGACATCGAAGGACATAACTCGTAATAGATGCAGGTGGTTCTACAATCAAGCCCAGAAATTCCAGACTTGTTCAGCAAGGGTAGAAAATGGACTTTTACAGTCAGTTAACTCCCTTCCCTTGGGAAGATGATCCCCGACACAATCAGTTTTCACAACCTTGTCACATATCTGATCATAATGACAGTCCATTGGTATAAAATCTCTTTCACTAGTATCTTGTCACAGATCTGATTTTTATGACAGAATATTGGTATAAAATACGAGTATCTTGTCACAGATCTGATTTTTATGACAGAGTATTGGTATAAATCCAATTGTGTTATGACAACAACATTTTCAAACAAGTATTAACCTGGACACCCTTTTCCCTCCTACAACTGTAGGTCTCGGCACACCGGGGTATATAGTGCTATATCTGAACTCTCCAAGTTTTGAATGTTTGGACAATGTCCAGGTGAGGTACAGTACCTCTGTATATTCCAGCTGCAGCCGATGCAGGACTCACAGCTTCATAAACACTCACACACATACTTGTAAAGTGTACGTTATCTCTTGACTACTGGTGGCTATATGCCACTCAACATGTCACAGGAACGCTGCATGCTGGGACGTTACACGATGTCACAGGAACACTGCATGCTGGGACGTTACACGATAACCGCAATAAACTGTTTGAACCATAAGGAAGAGAATTTATGGATGTCAACTTCTTTATTATGAGGATCACAATGTTTCAGAGTATATACTTCATCAGGTGAAGGAGTAAGCATCTTCTCCGAAACATTGTGTTCCCCATAATAAAGAAGTTGGCATCCATAAATTCTCTTCCTTATGTGTATCACTTTTAAATGCCTTTCAGACTTTTTTTTAACCGTCTATTTACCTTATATCAACTTGAGATGAAGCGTCACATCCTTCAGTTCTATTTACGTTATATCAACTTGAGATGAAGCGTCACATCCTTCAGTTCTATTTACGTTCTATCAACTTGAGATGAAGCGTCACATCCTTCAGTTCTATTTACGTTATATCAACTTGAGATGAAGCGTCACATCCTTCAGTTCTATTTACGTTCTATCAACTTGAGATGACGCGTCACATCCTTCAGTTCTATTTACGTTATATCAACTTGAGATGAAGCGTCACAGCCTTCAGGTCTATTTACCTTATATCAACTTGAGATGAAGCGTCACATCCTTCAGGTCTATTTACGTTCTATCAACTTGAGATGAAGCGTCACATCCTTCAGTTCTATTTACGTTCTATCAACTTGAGATGAAGCGTCACATCCTTCAGTTCTATTTACGTTCTATCAACTTGAGATGAAGCGTCACATCCTTCAGTTCTATTTACGTTATATCAACTTGAGATGAAGCGTCACATCCTTCAGTTCTATTTACGTTATATCAACTTGAGATGAAGCGTCACATCCTTCAGTTCTATTTACGTTATATCAACTTGAGATGAAGCGTCACAGCCTTCAGTTCTATTTACGTTCTATCAACTTGAGATGAAGCGTCACATCCTTCAGTTCTATTTACGTTATATCAACTTGAGATGAAGCGTCACAGCCTTCAGTTCTATTTACGTTATATCAACTTGAGATGAAGCGTCACATCCTTCAGTTCTATTTACGTTATATCAACTTGAGATGAAGCGTCACATCCTTCAGTTCTATTTACGTTCTATCAACTTGAGATGAAGCGTCACATCCTTCAGTTCTATTTACGTTATATCAACTTGAGATGAAGCGTCACAACCTTCAGTTCTATTTACGTTATATCAACTTGAGATGAAGCGTCACATCCTTCAGTTCTATTTACGTTATATCAACTTGAGATGAAGCGTCACATCCTTCAGTTCTATTTACGTTCTATCAACTTGAGATGAAGCGTCACATCCTTCAGTTCTATTTACGTTCTATCAACTTGAGATGAAGCGTCACATCCTTCAGTTCTATTTACGTTCTATCAACTTGAGATGAAGCGTCACATCCTTCAGTTCTATTTACGTTCTATCAACTTGAGATGAAGCGTCACATCTTTCAGTTCTATTTACGTTCTATCAACTTGAGATGAAGCGTCACATCCTTCAGTTCTATTTACGTTCTATCAACTTGAGATGAAGCGTCACATCCTTCAGTTCTATTTACGTTCTATCAACTTGAGATGAAGCGTCACATCCTTCAGTTCTATTTACGTTCTATCAACTTGAGATGAAGCGTCACATCTTTCAGTTCTATTTACGTTCTATCAACTTGAGATGAAGCGTCACATCCTTCAGTTCTATTTACGTTCTATCAACTTGAGATGAAGCGTCACATCCTTCAGTTCTATTTACGTTATATCAACTTGAGATGAAGCGTCACATCCTTCAGTTCCATGGCAATATCGAATACTATTTGTACAACAACATATCCAAGCAATCAGACCCTACCCAGATACTCCCTACCCATCAAAAGTTGAGTTGATATTTCTAAATACAAATGGTGTATATGATAGTTATACTTGGTAATTGGTTGCAAAAATATAAGTACATTATGCAATATTCAACCATATAGGACAAATATTCAGATCTGTGCTCCTTGTGGCGGTAGATTCATCACAGTATTTCAAACCATTTTTCCACATAATTGCTACACGATTAAGTAAAATATTTTACAAATTTTGTTACAAAAATATCTCCAGTAGTTTAGATTAGCTACATACTTTCTGCAAGTATCATCACAGTAACAACCTATAAGTCATCAATTGATAATCACTTCGGGGAAAAAGGACAGTTTTTTAGGAATTAGGGTGATAAAATACAATACAAAAGCGAGCATATTGCTTATCAAAACTATATTGGCTATCATGCTCAGCATTAGTAATTGGCACAAGTCCTGTAGTCCTGGCCAAAATGCCCAGCAGTTAAGGTATCATAAGGACTAGTACAAATTTGCCCTTTTTAAGGGGTTTGCTATATGTTATCATTATAAGGACTAGTGGACTAAAACTGTTAGTTTCTACCGCTGATGCTGCTGGTGATCATTATATTTTTTTTTGGCAATTAATTCTTAAATTACTATTTTGCAGTTTACAAATTTATGGAATACAATTTCTGTTAATTGAATATAGCAATTTTTTACACCGTTATCAAGCTGGAGTGATGATGTAAGATTCTACAACGTAACGTCGCTATATGCAATAAACTAGAAGTTGTTATCCATGAAGTTGTACATTTTCTTACTAAATCACCAACTTTTAGAATGCCAATGAAACAGTTACTATTTTTCAAAGCCAATTATTCCACTTATTTTTAATTGCACTCTGTATGGGGTTGTCACATCTGTGAGAACACACTGCAATAATGCCTTGTTGGGAACAATGTCACTAGTTTTTTCTCTCTTTGTTATTTAACACCACAATCAGCAATATTCCAACTGTATGACAGTGGTCTGTAAATATTAGTCTGGACCAGACAATCGAGTGTTTGACAACACAAGCATCGATCTATGAAACTGGGACACGAAGAATTTTATACGCCAAAGAGATAGACTTGTCTATAATGACGATCCCTGGAGATACCCATGGCGCCAGTGATCTGCCGTGTTGCTGCTATCATAGACAGGGGAACTCTAGCACTCGGGAGTACATACTAAAGGACTTTAACTCCAACCACAAAAATCCAAAATTATGGTCATCAAATATTATGAAGTGCCCTGACGACATGGAGGGGTTCGTGAAGCCGTGCCCAGCAATCTGACCTTTCCCATGAAATCTGAAAACAAAATTTTCATATTCAGGATGCATAGATATTAATTCCATATCATGATTGAAAACAAGATTGTCCCAACTTGGGATAACTAGTAGTATGTTTGCATTATTTGCAAAATATGTAAAAAATGCAAAAATACAACCAGGTCCATGTACACCGTTTTCTTGAAATTTTCATTAAAGGTGTATTCTTAAATGTCTAATGCAAGGTGAGCTCCAAAGATCCACAGCCAGTCATGTAGCACCTGTCCTTACCTTGCTCTACACACAGCCAGTCATGTAGCACCTGTCCTTACCTTGCTCTACACACAGTTGGGGGGTGTCTGAATCTCTCGTAGCAGTCGTCGGGGACGTGGAAGGGTTGTGGGGGCAGTTGCTGCAGGTTGACATCAGGAGGCAGTTCGGGGATGTCAATCTCCTCCATCAGCTCTACAGTTCTCTGCTGATCCATGGTGAGGATCATTGGGTGATCCAGATCTATTTGCAAACTCATCTTGTTGGCCGGCACATTTGGGTCGCCCTGATGAGAAAAGCAAAGAATCGTTGAAGATGACAAACATTTAGAGAACAACCAATGACCTGCTAGGAATTATCGGTCTCATCAGGGAAATAATTTTGTATGTTCCGAGCCTTGATGAGGAAGAGACATAGACTTCAATGTTTTGCAACTACTGTAAATTTGAGCCATGAATTTACTGCAAGTCGCTAACAATGACCTTAACTGGATCTGGAAAGTTTTGCGACACCCTGTTTAGATTACCAAAGATCAAAGCTACTTTTGCAGGTGTCATATTAGGAAGTAGGAAGCAGCATGATAGAATGGTAACTCATTGTCAGTCAGTGATTATCAAACTATTGATGCATGTGTTGTAGTTGACAAGGGAGGTTGGAGTAGCGTGTTTATCCAACAGAATAGACTGGCTAGTGAATAGTGATATATTTTTATGGTTACATGCTAGTTTTTCTGTCCTTTGTTGACCTTTTTTTGTCGAAATGTACTTATTATTTACATCCTTTGATAGTCACTATGAAATACTGCTGATGTGACTTTAAATTATAACCCACTCACTCTTGGGTAATTTGCTGAGGCTCTCGTAAAATATATGATGGCGTCTCTGCACCCGATGTGACTTAGAGTTACCTCCCTTGGTTGTAAACAACCATAGCAGAATTGATCATTTGAGAAGTTTCATAAGGTGACAGTTTTTTGTGATGGCTGTCTAAAATGTTTGCCAATGTTGTTTATAATATTCAAGGATCCCCAAAAAGGTATTTCTAAACATTATTTAAGTAGCACATTTATTTGTGAAAGAGAGAAATTTCCTTTGGAGTCAAAATCATGTAGATTTGATAATACCAGGGGATAAAATCAGAGTTCAGGATTTTAATGTCAAGGCAGAATAATTGATGACTGATCCCGACGCTCACCGTTATCTTCCTTCCTTCCGCCTTCTTCTCTGTATCACTGTAGGACAGCTGTATAATCTCGTTGCCATGACCACCGTAGTTGCCCTTGAACAGTCCCGGCTGTATCGGAGCCCCTGGCTTCACTGGCTGCTCCGTGATCCGCATCATGGGGTAGGAGCATCTGTGGAAGGGAAGCAATAAACGTTTAACCAGGTCTTGGTGAGAGTGATTACTGCTTAATGCCGCATCATGGGGTAGGAGCATCTGTGGAAGGGAAGCAATAAACGTTTATCCAGGTCTTGAGTGAGTGATTACTGCTTAATGCTGCATCATGGGGTAGGAGCATCTGTGGAAGGGAAGCAATAAACGTTTAACCAGGTCTTGAGTGAGTGATTACTGCTTAATGCTGCATCATGGGGTAGGAGCATCTGTGGAAGGGAAGCAATAAACGTTTAACCAGGTCTTGGTGAGAGTGATTACTGCTTAATGCCGCATCATGGGGTAGGAGCATCTGTGGAAGGGAAGCAATAAACGTTTATCCAGGTCTTGAGTGAGTAAGTGATTACTGCTTAATGCCGCATCATGGGGTAGGAGCATCTGTGGAAGGGAAGCAATAAACGTTTATCCAGGTCTTGGTGAGTGAGTGATTACTGCTTAATGCTGCATCATGGGGTAGGAGCATCTGTGGAAGGGAAGCAATAAACGTTTATCCAGGTCATGAGTGAGTGATTACTGCTTAATGCTGCATCATGGGGTAGGAGCATCTGTGGAAGGGAAGCAATAAATGTTTCACCAGGTCATGAGTGAGTGAGTGAGTGATTACTGCTTAATGCTGCATCATGGGGTAGGAGCATCTGTGGAAGGGAAGCAATAAACGTTTATCCAGGTCATGAGTGAGTGAGTGATTACTGCTTAATGCCGCATCATGGGGTAGGAGCATCTGTGGAAGGGAAGCAATAAATGTTTCACCAGGTCATGAGTGAGTGAGTGAGTGATTACTGCTTAATGCTGCATCATGGGGTAGGAGCATCTGTGGAAGGGAAGCAATAAACGTTTATCCAGGTCTTGGTGAGAGTGAGTGAGTGATTACTGCTTAATGCCGCATCATGGGGTAGGAGCATCTGTGGAAGGGAAGCAATAAACGTTTATCCAGGTCTTGGTGAGAGTGAGTGAGTGATTACTGCTTAATGCCGCATCAGCAGTCTTGTAGCCAACATGTGAATATGAGCGCTGACGGCCGCTTGGAACAATGGCTAAGTTCGTGATAATGCGCTCGCTTTAATCACATAGTCACAAGTTCCAATCCCAATCCCAAGGGGTTTTCCAGGGAGAATAAAATGTTAAACTTCTTAACTTAAATTGCACTTTCTTATTATTTTTAACAAAAGCATAAAATTCTTATGATTTCTACAAAATATATCACCAATAGTAACAGATGCCGAAGTTCAGCACCCTCAGTTAGGCAGTTTCAGAGGTGCTTACACACCCAAATTGCAGTTGGAGTGAAATATTTCAGCAAATCAAGGCCACAGTTTAAAAAAATGAAAACAGTGTCTTGAGATAAGACTCCCTCTGATCATAACGCAGCGCAATACTGACACTCGGTGTTGACTCACCCCAGCTGTGTGGTGACGAGGAACTTCATGAGCAGCAACTCCTGGCCATGGACGAAGAACTCACTTGGAGGACGGCCTGTCTCCTCCGTCAACCACTCCTCGAACTCCTGCACACACATGAAGCAGCGGCCATTTAACATTCAGTGTGGGAGAAGCCAAAGGGAACCATCTTCCCGAGGCAAGGGAGTTAACTGTCCATAAAAGTCCAGATTCCACCCTTGCCGAACGAGGCTGAAATTATGGCGCTATATTTTGGCTAGACTAATGAGTCTATGCGTAGTCCAATAAAAATGAAATCAACATCTAGTTCATAAACAACATGGCGACTGCCGTGCAGATTTCGGTCGATTGCAGGATTTGCAGAGCAAGTGAACCGTCAACTGGGCATCAACAGATATTTTCCAAATCTTTTTATGTTTGTTATTGAGGTACTCAATTGATTTGATGAACTTTGCGAAACAAGACCTGTTTTACTACAATCAAAGATCTTGATTATCGATCAGACCGTCTTGACAGGGCGCCACCATTTTGTTTGAAGTAGTTGCAAGTGCTATGAGAGGGGGAATCTGAGTGGTCAATATGGGGGACACAGAAGGGACATAACTCATAATAGCCAGTGGTGGCGCTACCATCGAGCCCAGAAATTCCAGCCTAGTTCAGCAAGGGTGGAAATTGGACTTTTAAAGTCAGATAACTCCCTTGCCTCCAAAAGATGAGGGGAGCCAGACAATTATATTTTGACCCACAACACAACAAATATATATAGTATAGCATAAATAGTATGGGCATGCTAGATGTTCTGAAATTATAGACTTTTTATGTTCTTGAGTAAAATTCTGAAGGACAAAATAATTATATCTAGCATTTTTGACAGATTTTAAAATTATTTTTTTAAATCCCTGGTTGTATGCAATACAAAATGGTTGCCCCTATGTGCAAAATACTTTCTGGCATTGCCTTGTGCACTGATCTGGACTGCTTCTGGCTGTGATCAGGAGTGACACATCCTTTTTGTCCATCCAGAATCCTGGGCACCCAGAATCATCCTAGTGCTACACGAATATTCTAGCTCTAAATGAGACCCGTAAAGATTCCAGGTTAGATAATAATAAATAACCAGTTCCAAATATAGAATTCTATTTTCTTGTGTCTTTTATTTGTGTATTTTGACAGGAATACAGAGTGAATACACTATGCCTTTTAGACAGTGGTCACATGTAACAAATGTTACATTTGGGATAACACTTTCTTAGAAAAGTGGGGCGGTCAGGTAGCCTAGTGGTTAAAGCGTTCCTAGACCCAGGTTTCGATTCCCGACATGGGTACAATGTGTGAAGCCCATTTCTGGTGTCCCACGCTGTGATATTGCTGGAATATTGCTAAAAGCGGCGTAAAACCATACTCACTCACACATTCTTAGAAAAGTACAGATTCAAGTACTTTTTTAGATTGAGTCCCATCCAGGATTCGAACCCCACATTCAGAATGTGACACCTAATTACCATCTTGGTGGCTAAGTGGGTTGGATGACAACCCAGGACACCATCCATCACATAAGCTCATTAGACTTTCAGTCAGATGAACTAAATATCAGAGTTTGTTAAAGAATGGAACTCAGTACCTTCTGTTTCCCCTCAGGGTGTTGGTGGTTGTTGTTTTCAGAACATTGAAACACCAGCAGGCTCCCATCTTCTCGCTACAACAGAGTAACACACATGTACTGTATCTACGACAATTTGGTTGGGGGGGGGGGGGAGAGTAAGGTACTAGCTGGCTATCATGTTAAAAAGTGGGGACGATGGGCAGCCATTTTGCATTTTTTGGTTTACAGATTGATTGCTAGTTTTACAACTTGGCAAGGTCGATAATAATACAATGATGAATCACAGTGGACCACAGAGAATCACAGTGAACCACAGAGAACTGCACTGAATCACAATGAACAACAATGTACCACAATGAATCACAGTGAACCACAAGGACCCACAATGAACCACAGTAAATCACAGAGTATCACAATGAACCAGAGTGAATCATTACTTCCCTTGACTAGGTAGTCTCACTAGTCTTTACACAGATTTCGGTAACAACCTATCAACAGTCTTTCCTGACAAGAAACTACAGTGAAATCCTGTTAGTCTGAACACCCTGATTTATGGACAACGACTGCTTAGTACAAGTTCACTTCCACCAAGGGACATTACTCTGACAATTCCCCACAGTGCCTTGAGTAACAGGGCTTCCGAGTAGATGTTTTCCCTCTTACCCAAAGCAGTTGGCCCTTGTGGGGGCCATTAAACCCCTTCAGACAGAACACCTCCAGTGTGGACCGGTCCAGGGCCATGCTCATGGAGAACAGGGGCCGTATCCTCAGTGGTTGGTCGACATGAGGGTCCACAGGGGGGAGACATTCTCTGCCTTTGATACATCCCCTGTCAAACTGGGAGGAGAAAGTCAACTGTAGGGTAACTTCCTGGGGAACGTCACTATCTTAAAAAGTTCACTGCAGGATATGGCATGGCTTACTGGAACATTTTTTATGTGTATGTTATGGATTCCAACATGAATATACCGTATTCAACGTAATAAGCGCCCAGGGCGCTCTCAAAATTAGAAATAGGGGGCGCTTATTAGAATATTATTTTGAGTTGAAAGATCGTAAATTTCGTGATTTATGCTAACAGCCTGAAATGTTTACATGCGACGGATATATTTTTCAAGAATTTAATTGCCCATAATTAAGGGTGATATAACACACGAGTGCGTATTATACACGAATAAAAAAGTCTTGTGTACATTGATCAATCGGAAGGGGTGCTGATTGGGATTGTTCACTAGCCAATATATTAGCAAATATCGCCGTGGGCGCTTATTAGAGCGGGGCGCTTATTACGTCGAATACGGTAATATATCTCTAATTGTCCTCCTAACATTAGACTAACATTTAGTTCCAGAAATAAACTTATCTTAATATTCAAAAATATATATCTATAAAATAGATAATATAATCCAAATGGAGCCCAGAACAATGCTTAATTTCAGGCCTAGAGCTGAGGCAATCTAGACTTGACAAATCTTTCTAGACACGAGTTGGATTAATTTTATAATTTATTCTCTAGGATCTGGGAGGCAGACTATCAAAACATAATCGTCTCACAGTCGGACATAATACATTGATTATTAGATCTTTATCCCCAACCATCTCACTACCAAACTGCCACCTCACATCATTTTGAGGTCGTCGATACAGACATGGAAGTATAATTTAAATTAAATTTCTTGATTTTCAGATTTTCTGGGAAAAATAAACAAATATATTTGTTGTCATGACTGAATGAGGCTAAATATACAAATACAATGTTATTAAACAACATCCAAACTCACCAACATGTTATAAGTCACGCAACCCTTTATTAATGTCAACTTTAGAATAAAATCAGTCAACCTAACTAAACCTTAATCAACCCTACCTTAATGTTAAAGTGTCAACTCTACCTACCTTTAATCAACCCTACCTTAATGTCAAAGTGTCAACTCTACCTACCTTTAATCAACCCTACCTTAATGTCAAAGTGTCAACTCTACCTACCTTTAATCAACCCTACCTTAATGTCAAAGTGTCAACTCTACCTACCTTTAATCAACCCTACCTTACTGTCAAAGTGTCAACTCTACCTACCTTTAATCAACCCTACCTTAATGTCAAAGTGTCAACTCAACCTACCTTTAATCAACCCTACCTTAATGTCAAAGTGTCAACTCTACTTACCTTTACTCAAAGCTACCTTAATGTCAAAGTGTCAACTCTACTTACCTTTACTCAACCCTACCTTAATGTCAAAATGTCAACTCTTACCTACCTTTACTCAACCCTACCTTAATGTCAAAGTGTCAACTCTACCTACCTTTACTCAACCTTACCTTAATGTCAAAATGTCAACTCTTACCTACCTTTACTCAACCCTACCTTAATGTCAAAGTGTCAACTCTACCTACCTTTAATCAACCCTACCTTAATGTCAAAGTGTCAACTCTACCTACCTTTAATCAACCCTACCTTAATGTCAAAGTGTCAACTCTACCTACCGTTACTCAACCCTACCTTAATGTCAAAGTGTCAACTCTACCTACCTTTATTCAACCCTACCTTAATGTCAAAGTGTCAACTCTACCTACCTATATTCAACCCTACCTTAATGTCAAAGTGTCAACTCTACCTACCTTTAATCAACCCTACCTTAATGTCAAAGTGTCAACTCTACCTACCTTTAATCAACCCTACCTTAATATCAATCAGTCCTCCATAATGACCTACTTCTGGCTGCCACTTTCCAATGCAGTTACCAAACTTATGCAGCACTGAAAGATAAAGACAGTAACCAGGGTTAAAATACATGCCAAAACATTTTAGTTGACAAGGATTTGCTTTATTTCAGGGGCAGATTCAACAACAAATTTGTATGGTGGCAGCAGGGCTTGCTCCTTTCAAAGGTCACTGGCCCTTCTCCGAACTAACTGGCCCAGAACTAAAGGTTGGAGGTCACAGGGGGGGCTCAGAAAATTTTAGAACTCCTCACCCCGAAAACATCATGTCCTGCCCTCTGAGATTAAATCTTGGCTTCCATTTGCCTCATTTCGATGTTATGAGCAAATAAAGTTGTGTTGTTGTACCAGTGTTCGAAATACCTGCCTGCCTGACCGTCCGAGGCGGGTTGATTTCAACTCGGGCTGCCAGATTTTCAAATCCCCCTGCCCGACGGTCGGGTTATATTTCATATGTGAAAATATTCAAAATATTTCCCGATGATAAGCATTAATTCACATGTAAAGATGAATGATAAAATGTATCCAAAAAGAAACCCTGTTAGCTTATCCTGAGAAACATATGATTATAGTGGGCAGGCAGGTTTTGGTCAGGGCTGGCAATTATTTCAGCTAGCCAGTCCTGTGGTCTGGCTGAAATGTTTGGGAGTTTCATACCCTGGTTGTACACAACATTACAGAATGGCCGCCAGTTGTGTCATTCTACCGAGATGATCTTTGAGTGAACCATTCACACAACCTCAACCTCAACCTCATCTCCACTAAAAACACTCCTGGGCTAAGGCAAATTGTTTGTCCAGGCAAGTTTCATTAACGTGACTAAAGACATTCAAATACAACTTACTTTGACATCTCAAAGTTTATGGAGTCAGTCTAACAGTTAATGATTACAGAACTTACACAGTAACAACATCCTTGTTGAACACATGACACTTATTACAGCATCAAGGCCTTGAAATATCTACCTCATATATTGTCCCACTTTAATTTTCAAAAAATGTTCATTACTCATATCGGGTGGTTTGGTAGCCTAGTGGTTAAAGCGTTTGCTTGTCAAGCCGAAGACCCGGGTTCAATTGCCAACATGGGTACAATGTGTGAAGCCCATTTGTGGTGTCCCCCACTGTGACATTGCTGGAATATTGCTAAAGGCGGCGCAAGACCCTACTCACTCACTCATAACTCTTATCCAACTTACCCTTTGTATAAAACTGTTTGTATGTGAGGTCCCATCCTTCCACTTCATCAAAACTGTAATCTGAAGAAGAAGCCAAGGGTTTGTCTTTGTATTTGTCATGCGTACACTTCTGTTTAACACAGACAGTTTCACTAAGAACAGGAATTTTATCATCCGACATTTCAAACAATTACTCACTTGTATGTAGTGTAACACCCACTTCTGTACTGGTATATGTATGGAAGTTATCAGAAAATTCCAATATACAGTTCAGTATAGACACTATATAATGAGTTATGTAACTTTAATCTGCCAGGATCCTCACGTCATTGGCTGGAAACCCAAATGTGACCCCATTATGAGCCTTAGTTTTGAGCCTTGGTTTGTCAGCACCATCAGTGCTGTGGGTTTATGAGTGATAAACAGGGCCTGCATTGCCATAGGCTTCCCTTTCATGACAAAAGCATCTGAACTCAGAGCAAATTTACAATATGTCTGCCACTGCAAATAATGTTTAAAACTGTCTAAAAGATAGTGTTTTTCATGGGGAGTTATAACCTTGACCCTAACCCTAATAACACACCATATATAGGCATGTATGTTGATGTGCAGAGCTTGGCATAGCAACAGAATTACAAATGGCGGGCTAACATGTAAGATCGACTGCCGCACCAGATTACTATGCCTCAATTACTTTTTCAAAATCCAATGAAGACATATAAAATGGTTCATAACAGATTTGAGAATACTACTACTTAAAATGTTAAAACCTTACAATTAGTGAGTTTAATAAGTTGAGAACATATTGTTAACTTCTATCTCCCATTCCCTTGCTCACTGTGTATACCACCTACCAGTCAGTGTTTGATATAAAATAAAACAAATTGCCAGGCAGCCATCAGGACCCACAGACTTTAGAAGCTTAAGACTTTGATGAAACTCTTCAGGCCCTCATCAAAAAGACTGCAACTTGTGAAAAGTAAATCAACATGTATATTTACTGGAGAACATAAGGACCCATACAAATTTGAAACTTGAGCCCATTATACCATTATCTAGCCATTAGCCATTTGGGGGTCTGACAGTCAGGACAAGACCCTGTTTCAAGCTGGATCTTGCCTTGACTGTTGCTCTGACTCAAAATTGCAATTGTCAACAGTGTGAGCATCAATCAGTCCATATCCATACATGCAGTAATGATATACGTGGATATGTCAGAACACAAACAATTTAAAGCGTTGGAGAATGTGTAATCTCATGGTAGCACAGCTGCTGGTTCATTGATAGTCTGTCATACAGACCGTGAAAGAAATATATTCAATACAGACCTTGCAATCTTGCAAGTCTATAATAGTTGGCAAGTCTAGATTACTGCACTTTCAGTTTCTGAAAATGAAGAGACTCTCCAGCATTAGAAATTTGCACTAGTCCTATAGTCCTTGCCAAACTGCCCAATAGGTAAGGTATCATAAGTACTAGTAGAAATTTGTCATTATTAAAGGTTTTGCTATATGTTATCATTATAAGGACTAGATCTAGTGGACAAAAACAGTTAGTTTCTATCGCTGCTCTCGGGTTTCCTTTTCATTATATTGTACTAACATAATTTAAAAACGTTATTTCTGTAAAATACTGTCGATGTAGAGACTAGATGTTAGTCTAGTTCAGTGATAGAGTGTGGGTTATGTAACCTAGCTGCTAACTTGGAAATGAGAGACAACTCACCTTGCCCGCATCGATGTTGCCATAACGACTCTAAACTAACTAAATCTCTACACTGTTTACTGACAAGAGCAACCGTAGCGAGATCTGACGATGATAGAAATTTCAGTACATGAGCAATTAATTCAGGTGGCAGTTGTAAGATATTGAGTGTCATACTCCAGACTGTTTGTTTACATTGTCAGTAACTTCCGGACAGTAGTTACAAAAAGTTGGAATTGACTCCGTACAGCGACGATGCAGGTGCTTGGAGTGTAAGCTCCACACCACCGCCGCCAATATTAACGTCCGTTCTTCATCAACTTTGTTCATGCGAAGGGAGTTTGCTGGAAGAGCTTATCAGCGTAGCGCTGTTTCGAGCTTGGATAACAAACTTTATCGCGCGAGTTCCGGGAGATTCGAAGGCTCACACGGGAGTGTTTACAGTCAATACTTGGTCAACGGTGGGCCATTATACTTTTCTTGATTTTGTAAAAGGTCGGGCCATCAATTACCCTAATTATGTTAAAACTTTATCAACGAATCGAAACGGCGCCATGCACTGCCCCGTTGCTCTTCATTGAAACAATGAAAATATAACCCTCATCGAAATCTGGAAAATACGGCAATCAACAGATCAAAATGAAACAGTAACTTGCAGTTCTATGATCTACTAGCCTATCAAATTTCTACATTGCACACACGCTAAATGTTGTGATACACGTTAGGGCTGGGACGAGTCCGAATTTACTACCCGGGTACCCTACCCCCTATATTACCCGACCCTACCCGGGTAACCCACTGTAGGTCACAAGAGATAGGTACTATAGTAGGCATATAGTCAGAAAGAAATGCGAACATTTGTGACTTGTAGTGTGTTCATAGAGTTCTTGATACCTTTTGTCATTATACAATATATCACATGACAAACCACGGGTCCGGGTACTCCTGTGGGTACCGCCCAGCAAACAATTCTACGTTGTGACAACGTTGTGACAACGTTGACTTTTCGTTGCTACAACGTTGTGATGTTACGTTGTCACAACGTAATTCTGTAGACTCCCAGATTGGTTGCTACAACGTTGTGCGTAAACCAAAATACAACCAAATCAAGACGTTGTCACAACGTCCATTTTTTACGTTGCTACAACGTTTAACCAAAACGTCGCGACAACGTACCAGCCAACAATTCTACGTTGTTACAACGTTGTGACAACGTTTACTTTTCGTTGCTACAACGTTGTGATGTTACGTTGTCACAACGTAATTCTGTAGACTCCCAGATTGGTTGCTACAACGTTGTGCGTAAACCAAAATACAACCAAATCAAGACGCTGTCACAACGTCCATTTTTTACGTCGCGACAACGTAGGTATCGCATACTGTTTACATATGGCGACACTACAGGCATTGCAGCACGTTGTTGCAATGTCCATGTAGATTAACGCCTGTTTTATTCCTCAATACCCCCCAGGCAGCCTGAAAAGTTTGTACCAATCTAGTTAAGACGTCAGGTACCAAGAAATACATTCTGCAAACTGAATTCACTTTAACCCTATCCATGAAACAGCAAGTCAATGAAATGCACTCTCTTTTGGCAGAGTTTGAAATACGGCCAAGATATAAATCTAAATTTTTTAAATTACATGTACAATTTGGTAATATAATATTCATTTTCCAAAACAATTTTCAAGGCTATGTGCAAATTGTTCACAAATGTTTCAACACAATTAAAAGATATTGGATTTTCCCACGAATTTGCAAATTAAAAACCATCAAACAATAAGCCCTGCACAAATTGAAACATTTAAATTTTCTTGGCCTTACCTCATACATTCAGCATTGAGAGCAACACTGTGACAAACAGAATAGTCTATGCATCTGATGTCCTAAGATCCATTAGGTAAACGAAATGACAATAGAATTCTGGTTGAGATGACCTTTATTTATTTGTTAAATGACAAGTCAGAACATGGGCTGACTTGCTGGGGAGCCTTTTCAGTCCTCAAATGAAAAGCCACCGGGATGATCTTCAACTGTATCCTCAGTCTCTCCTTATGCCTTGGTAACTGAATAAAAAATGACACAAATGTTATAAAATGGCAAGGCAAGGGACATATTTCTGACATAACAAAATAACGGTTGCATTCCCCAAAATAATGTTTTGATGTCTGATGTCAGTCTTTAAACTGTTAAAAACTGCTGAAAGTGCGAAGGCGCTGACACTAATACCATGATGCTCTTGGATCATACATAAGCAGAAAAGCTTTTAGCACTGAATCATTGGTGTAACTTTATACCCCCGCCCTTTTAGATTGTGGGTATAATTAAATAAGAATCATCTAAATTTTAATTCTTGAAGATGTTTGTATATATTATTGAATCAGACATACCTTTCTGTCAGTGATATGTACTTTAAACAAATACGCTCCCACAATACTGTTTTCTCCACCTGAAAGAAAAACAGAAACCACAAAGTATCACATTCTTAAATAAGCCAGTACTGTATAGATAAATCCCATTTACTTAGACTAATAGAGTATGATGTAACTGATAGTAATATTGGCAAATAGTTTTATCAGTCAACAGATCAACTGTAGTTTTTCAAAAGCAGTAACTTTACCTTTCTGCTGTACACTCAAACTAGTGATTCAAGTGAATATCATGGCCAAGTTTCTAAAACCTTATTTGAAAAATATGTACATAAATGAAAAATATATATTGCCAAATAAAATAAATAGTTCCCATATTTGAAGCAAGAATGTTGAATATGAATTATGAATTGGCCCACCAATAAGTGATAAAAGTGTTAACACTTTGGGGTATTTATCCTAATTAAAACTGTGATTTTTTTTAATACTTAGATCTACCTTAATATTTTCCATATTAATATGCCAGGATAGTTATATATGTTCTAACATTTACAAAGATTAGAAACATGGGGAAATAAACAAAATGCAATAGCTTATACAATACCAGACGAAGTTGAAACAGCTCTAAATATTTATTGAAATTTATTTGTCACTACGTTTATTAACATAGATCTAATACAGTTAAATATCGTTAAATATAATTCTGTAGTATGGTAGCCTACGTGGCAACATATGCAGATCGAAAACCGAAAGAATATGGTTGCTATCAATTCCATTGTATTTTTCATTGGTGCACATTGGCTACACCTATCTCACTTTAATAATCAACAAACGATGACCAACTCACTGACAATATATGGTGATATTTAACTTTTGACTATCGACTAGCTTATCATCACCAGAGAGGACAATACCGCAAACACCCCGTTATAGCGCGCGACGAGAGACTCGTTTTACTTTTGCTCGTTTTCATTAGAAAGGAGTCGGACATAGATCTAGTTATCGGAAAATGATGAATTGATTCTTTTTTCGGAAATAATAAAAATACACATGATAAGCACCTTGCTATGACAAACTTTATAGACAGCAGCAACAACCTGATGATCCACATTTAGGCTACTTCAGTCAGTGCTAATTAGGCCTTTTCGGAAACATCAAGTATGTTTCTGTCTCTTCCCGAAAATACGATTTTTTTCATAACATCATTGATCACTTTAGACTAGGGCTATAACTAGCAGCCTACAGAGAGTCGATCTGAATACTTCCATTGTTTTGATTCCCTCTTTTCGCTGTATAAGAGAAATCTACTTAACCTTTCCCATGGCCTGGATGAGCCACATTGTTGCACAAAAATCAAAGTCAGAAGATTAGTACATGTAAACTTTAAATAGTAATGATTTCAGAAATAACACAGAAGAAATGGCGATAACTGTCAGTGCGGTCAGTAGGCGATGCATAAGTTAGGCCTATTTACAAATCTACACTCTTACGAACGAAACCCGAACATAATATGACGGCCACAAAACGCCACCAGATTGAATTCTGGTCAAAAATATACCGCTTGCCCTTGGCAATTACCCTTGGTATCCATAAAATAATAATATGGAAAAAAGTCTTGGGCCCCCTTCACCTCTATCATCAAGTTCTGTGTATCATATTAATATCAACACTGACGCTCAGTGAAAATGACCGGCAAACTGCATTCTTAACCCTGCCACTTCTGAATAATACGATACATTTAGATCATTTGACGCACTGCATGCACAGAAACATATCAACAAGCGGAGACTATTTTTGAAAAATTAACTTACCTCAATCGAATTCACAGATCATCTGTCCAGTTCCAGTTGCTGCACAATCACTTGCTTGTAATATATTATGTCCAGAGTGAGTTTGAGCTAAGATGGCTGGTGACAGCAAATCTTCCGCGACAATGTGACGTCATTCTGACGTCACTTCACGAGGCAACAGGCTAAACTTTTCTGCAGTCGCTCTCACGCCGCAAAAAATACGCGCCAATTGTTTTTAACTGTAATATTGCTTGTGACAACATTTAGTTCGTTAATAGAATATATGTTTAAAAAAAATAACACTAAGAGATGGTAGATCTACAAGTGGTTTCCTTAACATCATTTACAAAAAGTACTGTAATGTCCAAAGCACAACGTTATCACAACGTTAATTTGCAACGTTGTTGTAACGTTGTCACAGATATACGCAATTACGTTCTCGAAATATTAGTATTAAGAGATGAAAATTCAAATGCCGAATATATAGAAAGGTAATGCATTACTAACTTGGTTTTCTGACAAATTCATGTTGATTTTGATAAAGCAGCTCTATTCCTTCTATTCTATTCTATCGAGAAGCAAACTCAATAACGTTTCACCGACGTTTCAGAAACGTAGTTACAAAACGTTGTGTGATGTCCAATGCACAACGTTTTCACAACGTGAATGTGCAACGTTGTTATTACGTTGTGAAATAACGTTGCAGGTCGACGTTAAAATAACGTTGTTACAACGTTATATCACGACGTTACCAATCCACAACCTTTCAACAACGATGGAAGTGCGAATCATGCATGTATGGCGAAAATGTTATTGTCATTGTTTGTTGTTTAATCGCCTCTTACGACAAGCACGGGTTGCTGAAAAGTGAAAACCAAATCTAACATTATTGTAATTTTTTATGCCAAAATGTAGTTTATTTCGAGTAAACACCTTTGTTTTTACGCTTTTCGCGATGAAGACTATTTGACGTCGCACCAACGTATGAGAAACGTTGTCATCATAACGTTGCATGGCGCCCGATGCACAACGTTTCCACAACGTAATTTTGCTACGTTGTGATTACGTTGTCACATAACGTTGGAGTGACGTGATAATAAGGTGTTTACACAGACTTTAGTTTATTTACGAGATGGAAATCCTGATTCCGAAGATATAGGTAAATAATGAATTACTGCCTTGTTTTTGGCAGAAATTGTGTCGATTTGTATGTAAAACTTTTGTTCATACAATTTTCGTTAAGGCGACAGTTGACGTCGCACCAACGTTTCAGGAACGATGTAACAAGACGTTGGGAAATATTCGATGAACAACGTTTTCACAACGTAAAAATGCAACGTTGTTATTACGTTGTGAAACGACGTTGCACAGTGACGTAATAATAACGTTGTGACAACGTTGTATCACTACGTAACCAATTCACAACTTTACCACAACGTTGTGAAAACGTAGTGTGTTAGCTGGGCGGGGTCCTACTCAGGAACTACCCGAGTTACCCATCCAGCCCTAGTACACATACTTCAGTACTAAAGGCAAAATAAAGCTGCCAAGTGCATGTTTGCATTGAGTGGTATTTTGTCCATGCTGTAGTGTGAAAAGTAAAAAAAATAAATCTTAATTACGATTTGTACAATGTCTTGAAACACCAATAAATAAGATTCAATTTGGGAAGTCGGACAATATGTTTGTGTTAAGATGCGTGATAAAATAAGAAATGGAAAATAATTTCAGCGAAGATAGTTTATGTTTAACTTATTTTCACCCTATCATGTACATGTTGTAGATTATATGTGTTATTAAGTCAATATTTCATTGTCCTGATGGAAGGACATTTTCCACACAAAGTTTGCAATATGTATACATTCAAACATTTGCTTGAAACTGGACATTCTTATTTAAAGTATATTAATTTAGTAACATTTGTTTGGTGTTTTATCCAGATGCCACGATACAAAAAAGGATTGATTGGAAGGCGACCTAAGCGTGCTGGCAAAAAGTCACAAACCCTAGATCCGCAATCATCCCTAGAGGATCCAGCTACGCCCACCACACATCATGAAGACCACACTTACACAGTATCTCAACCAGTTGTGTTTGATGACAACACGTAAGTACTTTGAGTATTACTGTCTTAACTAGAATTGTGTATTAATCGAACAGGAACATGGTAAGGGAGCAATTAATAATCAACATGCGTACCCTCACATTAGTTTAGGGACATATGATGATGTCTGTATTTTGTAATTTGTGTTTCAGTGTTCGACAACTGCAGAGGGCTGAGGCGTGGGCAGAGTTTTACATCAGCCCAGTTGAGTGCCCTGAAGAACTAAGAGAATCTCACAGTCCTGAGAAATCAACAGATTCTGACAATTGTTCTGCCGATGAGTTTTATGTCCTTGCGGGAGAGATGCACCAGTATAACCATGAAAACAATCTTGATGATGTTGTCAGTAGCATTCTTCATCACAGAAGATACAAACAATATTTATCTTTGAAAAGGGCTTTGTTTGAGGAGTATGAGCAACTTGGAGACTTCACAGTTATTCGGGCCAAAGAGGATGTAATTACACTGGTTCAGTTCTATGACGGTTCTGAGTTGGCTTTGAAACTGTCAGTGACAATCACGCCGTCACTACTGGCATCCATCTCGGTCCACAGACAGAAAATCCAACAGGATCATGATTTCTGGATTGGCTTGCCCAAGTTCTTGTCAACTGTAACTGATGTTAAGAAACTTTTATCAAAGTTGTCCTCTTTCCAAGTTTGCCCTGGTAATTATGAGGACAAATTCAGCCACCTGGTGCCAATAGGTGTTGGGTTGAGTCAGGCAGTTGCTTCTGGCATGTCCGCATACAGAGAGGGGGACTTTGGAGTAAACACCAACGGCATCCAGTTCAGCTCGACCGTTAGGTCAACAAGTTGTGCCCTGTTGGTGTTTGGGAAAATGAGATGTGGTCATTGTTGTAGATATCGGTCTACCCTCAGGAAAAATCTGTCCCGGGAAAGTTTATCTCCTAAACATTGTCAGCCACAACCTGATAAACTGTCTCATAAGACGCATAAACACATGACGAAACTAGAACTTGTGCACAAATATAAAATTATTAAAACTCATAATCAGTCACTTAAGAGTGAGCTGGATCAACTGAGAGGGAAAGTGTACAATACAATGTGAAGCAAAGGGCTCAAGCTACATGATTCTAATGATCAAGACTTAAGAGACATGCCGGAAGAATACAGTTCTGTGACACAGAAGCGCTTGTTCTGTTCAGAGATGAAAGTTGCGGGTTCATATGCCCTAGAACCTAGCAGGACCACCTCTGTTGTCAAGTGGTAGAGAATCTACCCAGAGAGTTGAAAGTCCGGGGTTCGATCCCTGGCCGCGTCATACCAAAAGCTGTCAAAAGCTGGTACTTGTTGTTACCCTGTCTGTTTGCTCAGCATTAAGGGGCTAAAACAAGGACTGGTCGGCTTGGAGTCAGTATACTGTGTCCGGGTGGGGTATTCATGTTAAACTGCAGCATGGTATCTCAGTGAGCTAGCACTATAAATCGGCATCAGTCCGGATTAGTACAAGCAGCCACACACACACACACGTGTATGCACGTCGCTATATCAGTACAATATTCTTGGAAGCGATGTTAAACCCCATTTCACCTCACCTCAGCCTATCAGTGCTTGAACTTACATGATATATGTTCAATATGTTACACAAGGCCTTTTAATCATGTTCGTTGTTAAGGTGTTCAGTGAAAATAAAGTAATTAAGAACCGATGACCTGAGATGCAGTTGCATGTATTTCATTAACATGTCTCGTGAAAACAGTCCACCAGCATATGAAGGGGCACCAATCTCTGGCTTCTTCTCGGCTGTCTGACACTGCTGGGGCGGTCGGGTAGCCTAGTGGTTAAAGTGTTGGCTCATCACGCCGAAGATCCAGGTTCGATTCCCGACATGGGTACAATGTGTGAAGCCCATTTCTGGTGTCCCCTGCCGTGATATTGCTGGAATATTGCTAAAAGCGGCATAAAACCATACTCAGTCACTCTAACACTGCCCGCTAGGACTCACTAGCTGCCGTGAGTCGATTTGTTCGCTAAAGCAACTGAGCGTGACAAGAGACTGGGCTACTGTCTGTAAGGACACCTAAATAAACTTTGAGGCAATATCTGTTTTATGCATTTTTGAAGACTGATTGGTTACTCGTGATCTATGAAGATTTTGACAAAGGGTACATGTTAATTAATTTCTTCAGCCTAAAGAAACAGACCAAGAGAACGGTGGAAGCTCATCGGATGTCCTTATTTGGAAATACCCCTGATGGTTATGGTTTAATAATAATATAAAAAAAGTATCTCTGCAATGAAAGCCTTTTCAGATTTCGGATTGCACGGATAATAAGATTGCCATCTCTTGTTGTCATCCATGTTTCCTGGTATAACCCTACACTTGTGTATTTGTTGTCACTTGAAGCTCAGTTAATGAATTTATTACAAGTATAATTAGTGGTAGCACCACTCAAATTACCTGACTAAGATTCCCAATTGGCATTTCTTGTGTCTGGAGTAATTATTTAGTCTGAATCCAGGTTTGAAGTTGGGTGAAATGATTGTTATGTGATATGCACGTGGCAGCCCAGCAAGAGTGATCAGTTCATTTAATCTTTTCGTGAATCAACTGATCATTCCTCGCCATCAAAAGATCAACAGAAAATATATGTTGATTGATTAATCACTGTTATCTTGCACAGTGGATTTGTCAAAAGTAAGTTTACTAAAGCAGACCCATATCTGGACATAAAGTGCCGATGTAAAAACAACATACTTTGTTCAAAGGATGAACTTATAAAGAATGATTGGTTGTTCATTGTTATCTAACTGTTTTTTTAAAGAACCGTGGACATTATGAAAATAGTTGTCACGTGGGCTTTCTCAGCCGACCTTTGAGACTTGACACCTATGCGAAACACCTGAAACAAACTGAGTCATTAGTTGAGAAACAAACACGGGTTATAATATCGCTATATATATTTTAAGATATTTCATTGTTACAGAGACGTGTGACATCAAATAAGTTTATTTGTACCTTGTATTATGTGGATATTCACGGATACATTCCTCAAACAAGGTAACTGTCTAAATTTATACATACAATGTATGTATGTACAAACTTTGGTAGATTGTAATTATGTAATTATGATATTTGCATTTTGTTTTCATTCATTTGCTGTTGCATTGAATAGAATCATTCTTGTTCCGCTACATTTTTGTTGGGAAATTCTTCGATGCGAGACATACGTTGTTTTCACAAGCCTTTTTGCTTGTAGACGTGTATATGTTACAGTCATTAATGTGTAAAATTGGATTCACTCAGGCAATTCATAGAATGTTTAAATATTTCAGTAATTTACAAATTGACTGAACTTATTTAACAGCTTGAATAAAAATAATTAAGAGGTTCAAAAGACCTTAAAACATCACAATAGACTATTTATGCTAGGATTAGAAGCCCAATCTACAGAAATGTACTTTGAATTTCCTTTTCTTTTAATCCTATCACTTAGAGTCACTGGGTGATGACATTAAACATCAAAATGTTTTCATTATAACATAAATAGACACTTTTCAGTCAATTTGTGAAATAACTGAATATTTAGGTGTTTAATAAATTGCCTAAGTGAAAACGTTAAGACATTTTGAATATAAAATATACACAAAATAAAATAAGCAATGCTCAGGGGAAATATTTTCTTTGTGTTGCAAGGCAAAATAGTGTCAATGAAAAGAGCACAATACCAAGCAAGTGACTCATCAAAACTTTGTCACCATTACGTATGCAAAGATACTTACATGTCGTTATTATTTTCAAGACTAAACTGTATTTCAGTTTGTTGATCAATGTGACCATACGCACTTACACAATCAATAAAAGCGACAAATGCGCTTAGGAATGACGCAACACAGGTTGCAAACTTGTCTAGATTTTTCCTATATCATCTAGGTACTCACAAGGAAAAAAACAATAACAAAGGCAACAACCAGTCCCGTGGAATTGCTCAAGATCAATAGGAACAGCGCAAACACGTTCGTTTCTTTGTTTAACGCCGCACTCAGCAATATTCCAGCTATATGACGGCGGTCTGTTAATAATCAAGTCTTGACCAGACAATCCAGTGATTGACATGATGAGCATCGGTCCACGAAAATGGGATAAGATGACATGCATCAACGAAGTCAGTAAGCCTGACCACCCGATCCCGTTAGTCGCCTCGTATGATAAGCATAGTTGCCTATTATGACAAGCTTGGGTTGACCTCTTCTATCCCGGATCTTCAAGGATCACGAACAGCTCTCAAACATCGGGTATTAATACACATATGATATGAGCTGAAAATGTTTTGTTGTTTTTGGTTAATAAAAGCAGTCAGGGTGTGTACTTTCTTTTGTACTTCAGTTTAACATGACTTAAGGCATCGGACGTTGTAGTCCTGATCAATCAACAATTAAGGTCATATGACGATCATTGTTCTAAGATCATCTTGATTGTACCAAACATTGAGAAACATGACACCAAAGGCAGTAGCTGCTGGAATTCTACTCCCGATAAAGGGAAAGTTGACAGTTGGAAAGTATGTCACCCTGAATCTTTATGCATAGATCTAAATAGGAAACAGGTGAGGCCTGATGTAACACGTTAAAAATGTTCAGGTCTGTCGAATGCTTAATTAACCTGGTCCATATACAATCAGGTATTATAAACCGCCATGAATTAGCTAGAAGATCATACAGACCGCAGTCGCTCAGTTGTAAATTGTAATTACTCTAAATTCCAGGTACATTGTCATATTTCAAATTCAACAAATGGTATTTTTGGTAACTGGGTATTTCAATTAAAAAAACTAAACTGTCTATTGATTGGTTCATGGGAATTTATGTTGTACACAGCATTACAATATTGCGGCCAGTTGTCATTCTACTGAGATGATCCATTTAAAAAAATTAAATATACGCAGAGAAGGGGTGAATACCTGACTAGCCAGACGGTCCATCTACTTTACATTTCAGCAAGCCCTTTGTAATTTTAACTGACCATGGGCCAATGGGCCAGCAGTTAAATCAAACTCTGGACAGACTGTCTTTCAGAAAAATTAATTGCTGCACTGATACTGCCTCCCTCTGACACCTGAGAGCAAGAGTTACCTCTGTGGTTTTAGACCTGTAAGCCTTAAAGGTACAGGTGAGGTGAGGTAAGGTGAAATGGGGTTTAACGTCGCGTCCAAGATTATTGCACTTATATAGCGACGTGCATGCACGTGTGTGTGTGTGTGTGTGTGCGCGCGCTTGTACTAGTCCGGACTGATGCCGATTTATAGTGCTAGCTCACTGAGATACCATGCCGCAGTTTAACATGAATATCCCACTCAGACACAGTATACTGACTCCGAGCCGACCAGTCCTTGTTTTAGCCCCTTAATGCCGAGCGCCAGACAGGGTAACAACAAGAACCATCTTTTAACGTCTTTTGGTATGACGCGGTCGGGGATCGAACCCCGGACCTTCCGCTCTCCGGGCGGCCTTAAAGGTACAGAGTAAAGTCAGTCTTAGAAAAAGGATGATCTACTCTGTCCTGCAGCTTTTAAATGGCAATAGTTACATAAATAAGTTGCCAGCCTACATGGATTGCTGGGAGTAAAAGATATTTCAGAAACTGATCCACCTCATCACGACCCAATGTCAATGAATGTCAATGATGGTATCCCCACCCTCTAGACATCTGGCATTCCACTTAATTTGTCTTGGCAACCAATTTAAGGGATGGTCACTTGAAGGGGAATTAAAAGAAAATTGGTCTCAAGACTGTATCATAATTTTGCCGACGCCCCACCCCCCATATTTTTTGTGACAATCCCCCCGCCCACCACCATCAGACAAAAGTAACAATTAAGAAAAAAACATAAAAAACACAAAATAATTCATTGATTTTTTTATTTGATTGATTTCAAAACTGAAATAATGGCATCTGCATACCTGATAAACTTTTCATGGCATTCAGCATACAGCTTTGGGGCATCAAGAATACCACTGAACAGAGTTCCAGTTCGACGATTTGTATGGGAGCCAATCACTCCATGAAAACATACAACAACTTCATATAAACTCTTTAATGAGCTTTGTAACATATAATTTCTTTGTGCAACAAATAGGTTAATGATAAATAATAAAAAACAGAAAAAAGTGCCTACGTCCTTCACCACATTATAAACATTATTGCATCTGTGAACACATTTCAACAAAGATATGAAAAAACATCTTAAGGCACTTCAGAGTGTAGTTCTCATAACTGTGATAAAAAAGACTAATTTGTATCAAAAACACAACACGAGTACTAATAACATTGTTCTCTGATAAGTCAAAACAACACTAACATCACTACAACCACTAATATCACCAAAATATTATTCCATCAGACTTGTAACTTTACCATGTTTACCAAATCAGGGACAAAACCATTTACGTTTAATATCTAAAACCTGTCAGAGCAGAGTTTTAGTACCATCAAATATTGTGAATATTTTTTATCATTAACTTTCCCGAAAGTCTTTAATATAACATCGCTATATACATGTTGTATAAGATGATGATGGTAATAGTCACAATGTTGCTGACATAAGTACAACGAGGCTGTTAGTTGAGTAAGACGAACAATCTAACAGGCTGTGTCGAGTGAACAGTAATTATTTGACATCAGTAAGTATTTCAAGAAAAAAAAATTCCTCGCCATACTATGTGTAACACCAGTTCAATGCTAAATTGGTACAAAAATACACCCCCTGAACACGAAATAACACCAGCACTACGCTTATGAAAATATGTGTTGTTCACATAAATCTCCAGAAACAGACTTGCTTTTATCACAGGTTATTAATTGCGGTTCACTATTCACATGCAACTGCCAAGAGTCTGAATCCTCCTTGTCCACTGTGGTCATCACATGAGTGTCTTCACTCTCTGCTTCTTGTGTGTGGTCATCTTGTGGATAGACTTTATCATAACGCACATATGAAAAGTAACAGTCAAATCCGAATGCAATAGTATTGTCATACAAAACACGGTATCTTGTAGGTAGAAATAGAAAGTTGATCAACTGGGCTGGGGGCCATACAATCCAATCAGCTAGATATAATGTTTTGCCTTTTTCAACCAAGTCCTGCTTGACCTTGTCCCAGGAGTCATTTTCCATATAATTTAAACTCATGAGAAACATTCCTATAAATAGAGGTGAACAAACCAACTGATCCACTAGAATTTTCTTAAACACAATCCGAAGTGTCCTCCCTGGCAGCCATCGGTCAAGGAACATGTACCAGAAGTGGCAGAGCGGACCTACAAGGAACCCCGTGCATGACACATGAAATGTTCGAGTCTTGTCCCATGTTCTGTTCTTGTGTTTGCAGATCTGGAAGTTCTGCTGGACGACATCCCCAGTGAGGGAGAGTCCTACCGTCAGAGCGGTGTTGGTGTACAGGAGGTATTTCTTTGAAAATAGTTTCTTGCCTCCAATGCGAACGGATTTTAACACCGGTTTCCATGCCAGCTGAAGAATGCCATGTCCTAACTTGTTCATGCTTGGAATAACGGCCTTGGAGTTAAGACATCAAAGAAGCTCTGAAAAGAAAAGTTCACATAATCAATTATACGATAATGTAAGTTTCAGTTTAGTTTGGGTTTGATTATCCATGCAGTGCTAATTGAAATCAGTGGCCCGGTAAAGTCCACTACACCCTCTATCAACCTCCTTCACTTCCAACTGGTGGCGAGAAAATGAAGCATTGAGAACTGGTTCAGAATAATAGCCCTCAAATTCACAGGAACTCGATGACAGCGTGTGTAGCATAATTTCAGAAAAAAAATCACACCCCTTGATACATATGCAGCCTATAGAGGGGTGTGATTTCTTCTATACGAATATAATATGCTTTGCACGCTATCATCGAGTCCCTGTGCTCAAATGCTACTAGTCAGTGAAGGCTGCCATTATTGGATACTTAGTTGTACTCGTTGATTTGTAGGCCTTTTTCAAAGGCCTGTAGAGACGTCCCGGTTAATAGTCAAACCGATGCAGTCTTAATCAATGCGTCAGTCATATGATCATATCCTCTTCTCACAAAACCTCACCCGCTTCTCTCCTTGCATCCACTCATCTTGTCAACACACTGGCCCTTCGAGCTCAAGGGCACCGGTTTTACGAAAGCATGACCACCATGCCTAACAAAATATTATTTGTTAACCTAAAACGAACAACGAAAATATAAAATTGCAGTAAAGCTTGGTGAAGAATTAAGAATATTCTTTATTCTACTTACTATTAATAGTGTTATCTTACCATAATAGCATAACAGTGTTGGATACAAAAACAAATAACAATAATGATTGAATATTTCCAATTCAGATAAGAATTCATATTTTTGTACTTGCCAGGCGGAAGTACAGCGCCATCTACAAGCGCCAAGTAAGTGTACTTTTTACAAACATGTGGAAAGCACACCTATTAGATTAGCAGACATTATTTGTTACGTGATTATCTTTTGTGGAACTAACGTAATTCATTGTGAGGTTTTCAAAGGTACTTGTTAGTGAAGACAAATCCGTCGACTGCAATCATTCCAAGTCGTATTTTGGCTTACAGTGAAGTTCGTTCGCTGTTGATGGCGACACCAATTGTTTCAATGTTTGTGAAGACATCTGAATCTTGATTGCCTTTGGAACTGGTGTTCTAATGGTTGTGTTTATTGTCCTAATCATACCATTGAACACGAAGTTTTAGTGAAACACTTGACTTTAATGTATTTGAAGAAATTATGTTCATGTGAGAATCAGACTGTTTCGTTTTGCAAGCTGGCCTTTAGTTATTGATTCATACTAAGAAAATGCCTGTAGATCGATGTCATTAAGTAGGCTGGTAAATAGTCACGATCTATGATGTGACATGGATGTCACACTGGATGATGACATATATGTAGAATTGGATACAAGGAGCAGATACATGATAGTGTCTTGATAACTGAATATGTTGGCAATATAGTGCACGTGATAGTTAATTGTTTCAATTATTCCTACCTGATTTTGATTGTAAAGGATAACAGTGCAGTTATTGTGTATTGTATTGATGCAAGTGGAATGTACCAATTTGTATATAGCAAGAATTTGGTTGTATGATGTTCTTAGTTAAAAAGCAAATGTTGACACGTTTACACATAAGGCTTATTTATTCCTTAATTTGTACAGCACTGATGATTTTTATTAAACAAAGTAAGGTCTCACACACTGAGTTACATGAACAGAAGCCAGATGACATGGTTAATAATTAATTTGTCTTGAGATTCACATTCCTTGAAATTATTAATAGTTTTTCTTCTTGGTAGAACCTTAACTTTTGAGTGAGTTAATTTTTCAAGGGATCTTTGTATTCAACATGTTCAAGTGGAAAAAAATCTTCATGTTTAATGCTTGAATATATATCCTGATTTGTTTTTCAGAAAATAGCTTAAAGTTACTGAAACTACATGATGATGAGACCACCAGGCATGCGACCTCCGGGGATGGGACCACCCAGGATGAGGCCTCCAGGGCCTGGTCCCCAAGGACCACCTCGACCCATGGGACCACCTGGTCCGCGTGGACCACCGAGACCGGGACCACCAGGGCCACAGGGACCACCTCGACCTCCAGGCCCACCAGGACCAGGGCCTGTCAGCAGTAATACAAATGATCCAGCATCTGCCAAGTCTCGAGTATTTGTTGGAAATTTGAACACTTTTGCTCTAAATAAAGAAGACGTAGAGCAAATCTTTATGAAGTTTGGATTAGTCACAGGAATATCCATGCACAAGGGTTATGCATTTGTACAGTATGGGCGAGAAATGGAAGCAAGAATAGCGGCAGGGGCTGAAGATGGGAAGAATTATGCTGGGCAGGTTATTGGTGAGTATCCAGCTTTACAAACTAACTCTAGTTTTCTTTTGAATGTTATTCCAGTATGTTTTCATTGATGGAAATTAAATAAGAACATCTTCTAGCACAAATAGTGATAACATGGCAATACTTACCAAAGTGTTTGAAATTCTACTATCCCTTAGGATACCTTTAACATTACAAAACTGGTCCTGGCTAGTGCTAATTTCAATGTGTGGGTTTGTCATAATGTCTACAGACTAGTAGTGGGACGATACACTGCATAAGTGTGTCATGGTTTTTTATTTCTCAATACAAGTATTGATCACAGTCGTACATTAAGTAACATATTTTGATTTTTGCTTAAAGTTAAACATTTACTTTTTTAACTGTTACCACAAACATTAGTAGTAAAAATTTGTAGTGAAAACGTATATATTTTCATCCATTGCATCATACTTGACACTGCCAACTGTAAATCGTCAGGTATTTGGCCATCCTGTCTATGAAAATGATGGCTTACATATCACAGATAAGAGCACATGCAATTATAGTGATATGTAGCAGATCGTGAGCATGGTATCTGATGTGTATCAGATTGCACAGTTTGTGTAATGTCCCAGTCCTACTACAGACATATACCCGTGAAGATCCGGGGTAGAATAGGTCTTCAGCAACCCATGCTTGCCGTAAAAGGTAACTATGCTTGTTGTAAGAGGCAACTAACGGGATCGGGTGGTCAGGCTCGCTAACTTGGCTCATGCATGTCATTGTATCCCAATTGCGTGGATCGATGCTCATGATATTTTTCATTGGATTGTCTGGTCCATGCTCGATAATTTGCAGACTGCCGTCAATTAGCTGGAATAGTGCTGAGTGCAGGTTAAACAACAAACAAACTAAACAAAAGAAATACTACAGACATAAATAATTTAGTTTCTACATTGGGTATCGTATGTGAGAGAGACTACCCTGTGGTTCATGGAAGCTTCATCACAATACTTTATTACCAGATCATTGATACTTTACAGCTTTGTATACCCTACGCTACTCCATCACCCATGAGACCCGTGAAGATCCGGGGTAGAATAGGTCTTCAGCAACCCATGCTTGCCGTAAGGCATTTATGTTTGTCGTAATAGGCGACTAACAGGATCGGGTGATCAGGCTCGCTGACTTGGTTGATGCATGTCATCGATCCCAATTGCTTGGATCGATGCTCATGATAATAATCACTGGATTGTCTGGTCCAGTCTCGATTATTCACAGACCGCCGTCATATAGCTGGAATATTGCTAAGTGCGGCGTTAAACAACAAGCAAACCATGACCCATGAATACATATGGCCAGTTTACGGTGTTGTTACTATAATTAACAAACTAATCCAGCGACAGCCTGTTTCATGTGATAGACAAACCAACAAGTGCTCACACGAATGAGTACTCATTGAGTACACAGAGCTCCAGATTAGCTGCGTATCTGCATAAAATACGCATCAGAAATGCAGAAATATGCAGTGAAATAAAATTCAAGCGTATCAAATATGCAACGAACATTACAGATACGCTACAAAAATAAAACTTGTGCGTATCATCACAATATTGTTAAGTAACCCTGCATATTCGATTAGCAAATCAAACTTATTTTGAAATTATATACAGACATTCCGTCAGCCTTGCCAAACTCCACGATGACAGTTACATCATGATCATTTGCCATCACACTTTCTTGTGGAAGTATCGCAGTATTTTTGAGTCCTATAAAGCTCTCGAACCCACACGACAACAGTTTGCAGGGACTCGATGAAGTGTTTTTAAATATTTAACTTGTGTGTAAAAACTAGTGGGTACCAGAAATTTGAATACCCAGATAGAATTACTGATACCCAATGATTTTAAAATGCATGGGTAAAATACCCACAACACCAAAAGCTTATCTGGAGCTCTGGTTTTTTTATTTGACATTGTGTGCAACAAGTGTCTCATCTGTGTGGTATCTGCTCTACACATTGCTTCACTGTAAAGCAGTGGTAGGTTTCACATAAGGTTCTTTCACTTAATAGGGCTCATTTGACATTCATGAGTTATACATGACCTAATTTCATAAGCTGACTGTGTGTGTGTGTGTGTACGTGTGTACAGACAATGTAGGGAACGTAGTGTATGCAACCCGTGAAGATTTGTCCATGTTCAATATGTCGTATCTTGATCCATTAAAATGTAACCTGTATAACTGAGTTGTGGACATGCTGTGATCTGACTGTGCACCAGAGTCCTCAAGCTGTTGTTGCATTTATTGACTGACTTGACATGTCTGGATTCCTAACATGCATAACCCATTATTATCTCCACTAAGAAGTAATCTGTACCAAGTGAATCAGTGTGCTTTTAAGTGACAATAACAGTATTAAGATACTGGTTCTTCTTCCAGCAACAAATATAGCCTCTGAGCCGAAGGGTCGTGGAATCAAGAAAACACCACCCAATGAAAGGTGAGTTTCAACCATTCCAGGGAATGTTAGCAAGGTGATAGTTTGTGCAGTTTGATGGAACAAGTGTTTAACATCTGTTTAAGAATGACAAGGGTTCAGTGTTAACATACCCTACTTGTCGGCGTGGTCAGAGACTAGTAAGTCCAGGAAGGACGAGTGACATGTCTTTGTGGACTACCACTTTTACCAATTCTGTTGCAGATCATTTTTGCAGACTTGTGAAAATATAATCAATTTGTAACCCTGATGAGGCTGATAACTAATGTCATGTTAAACTAAGATTTAAGAAATTGTTTTTGTTTAACGCCACACACTATATTCCAGTTACGTGATGGCAGTTTGTAAACAATAAAGTATGGACCAGACATTCCAGTGCTTTGGTCCTGTTATAAGTGTTTCTCTTTGCAAAGCTAAAATATTAGTAAATTTTAGTATGACCTGAACTGGGATTTCTTCTAATAATTTCAATTTTGGGATTTTTGTGTGATGATTCCTGTGGATCGTTGGTCAAATTTAGGCTCCTGCGAATATTCTGTGTACAAGAATGTTGACCGTGTTTATGTCACTCCAAAAATTAGATGTGAAAGACATTTCACATTGAAGGTGATCAGTGAAAAAATAACCTTGAGGTCTGGAGTTGGTACTCAGTACTCAGTAATTAGACTGTCTGCCTCTTTGTTTGTATGTAGAATGTTTCAAATAAGTGTCTCTAATCTGCAATATCATCTCATCATTCCAGGCGTTCAAGTTTGAATTCAAAGCCAACAACGCCGACAACTCCGTCAGTTAACTCCAGCATGAAGCGCACCCTGGTGACACTATCTGGCGACACATCAGAACCCCCTACCAAGAAGCCAACCCCCTCCACCTCCACCTCCAGTAGCGCCACCAAGTCGAAAATCTCCTCCATCAACACAGGTGGGGAGCAACATTCCTAGCACTGTAGCTGACCTTTTAAATCTGATCTGTTACCAAAACATGATACCGCTCTGCTTGAAGATCTGATGACATATCAAGCGATATAGCCAATCTTATGTAAATCTGATCTATTACTCACATAAGATACCTCTCTGCTTGAAGATCTGATGACATATCAAGCGCTGTAGCCAAACTTATGTAAATCTGATCTATTACTCACATAAGATACCTCTCTGCTTGAAGATCTGATGACATATCAAGCGCTGTAGCCAAACTTATGTAAATCTGATCTATTACTCACATAAGATACCTCTCTGCTTGAAGATCTGATGACATATCAAGCGCTGTAGCCAATCGTATGTAAATCTGATCTATTACTCACATAAGATACCTCTCTGCTTGAAGACCTGACGACATACCAAGCACTATGGCCAATCTTATGTAAATCTGATCTATTACTCACATAAGATACCTCTCTGCTTGAAGACCTGACAACATACCAAGCACTATGGCCAATCGTATGTAAATCTGATCTATTACTCACATAAGATACCTCTCTGCTTGAAGACCTGACGACATACCAAGCACTATGGCCAATCTTATGTAAATCTGATCTATTACTCACATAAGATACCTCTCTGCTTGAAGACCTGACGACATACCAAGCACTTTAGCCGATCTTATGTAAATCTTATATGTTACCCAAACACGATACCTCTCTGCTTGAAAATACGATGCCTGTCTGCTTGAAAATAGATGCCTCTCTGCTTGAAGCCCTGACAACCTCAACATAGGACAGGTGAACCCTCAGCAAGTGTGGACTACCCCATCTAAGGGCCATGTACATAACATAATGGCACTAAAATACATGTATACTAAAAAGTATTCTTAGAGCCAAGTTCAACCTTTACTTGCTGATTCGGGGCGGTCGGGTAGCCTAGTGGTTGAAGCGTTTGCCGAAGACCCGGGTTCGATTCCCAACAGGGGTACAATGTGTGAAACCCATTTCTGGTGTCCCCCGCCGTGATATTGCTGGAATATTGCTAAAAGCGGCGTAAAACCATACTCACTCACTCACTCACTTGCCGATTCAACAGTTTTTTTTGCACAGACAGCTTTAGACAGTCTTGTAGTAGTAAACATTTGCTTCTGTGTGCCTGTAGTCTCTGCTAATATGCTTGTATGAATATCACTCATTAACATTGTTCATATCTGACGACCTGTGAAGATATGTGTTCGAATAGATCTCTGACTGATTATGATTTTTGTGCAGCCTCCGTGGACGTTCTGATCTGTGGTCGGTGCAAGCTCCAGTTTAACAGTCTACACAGTTTGGCACAGCACAAGAAGATTCCCTGTCGATTACGGTTCAGCTGCCAGTGCCAGAAAAACCCTCCGCCCCCCGTGTCAGGTTGGGATGTCATCCTTTACCACGATATGATGTATCGATGAATATTTTATGGCAATGCTGTATACAAATTTGACATTGATAATAAGTTAATAATGCCACAGAATTGTTTCCATTTAAATTTTAAACTTATCCTACCTCACACTTTGCATTTCTTCTTCCTTCTTCGATCCTACATGGAAATGTGCTTGAACCATGTTTCCAGCTTCTAAAACAAAGTCATTCACCCAAACACACCCTAGCACCTCTATGGTATCGACCAACAACTGGGTCAATTATGTGCTCTCGTGCACGGTAACCTCCCACACTTCGACTGTGCGTCATTCTACCAACTCATTCTCTTTCTCATCGGCACCACGTGTGGATGTATTGCTTGGATAATATGTTGTTTTTTTTACTTATTGTGGTTTTGAGATTGTCTTCAAATGGGGAAGAAGGGTAAACTTCGTCCGGCTGGTGCTAAATGACGACATGGGGGCATGGGTGGCTCAGTCGTCTAAGGTGCCGCAATTCGCTGTGCAGAGTTGCGTCCCTTGGGCACACCAGAAACCAATGATTGTGGGTTCGAATCCCGGTTTGCCCCAATTATGTTTCTAGGTTTGTCAGCACCATACCCATGCTCAAGGGTTTCACCAAAGTGGTAAACGTCTTAGACTTGCATCACTTCGGGCTTTCCTCCCACATTAAGCTGATACGCCGTGATATAACTGGAATTATGTTAAAAGCGGTGTTAAACCAACCTCACTCACTCACTCACTCACTAAATGTTGACACACATATTCAACGTCAGATGCTTACAAGTTGTGCTGTGATTGTCGTGACTAGTGTACTTTGGACTCTAGATGCAGGAAATGTCATTTCTTGGAAGATTCTGCCTTCAATTGCTAGACCATAGATCTAAGACTAAAGATTCCAGCAAAACATTGTCTAAGAAAACAGAAGTCATGTCTTTCACTCATGCAGAAGCGATGGTACTCTTGGTTATAGACGCCACGGTCTCCGACAGATTTCAACAGATTATGTCACCCTACCCGATCTCACGACCACTCCTCTGTCATTTCTCCATTCCTGAGTCAACCCTTCTTCAATTTCGGCGACTGCTCCAAACAACGCTCTCACCTAGTCGGTTGGACCTGCTCCTCCGTTCAAGATCCCCCTTTTATATCAGTCAAGTTTGCACAGTCGTGGGAGGAAAGAGGCTGCTCATCAGGACGTTCCCGATCGTCAGAAGGAAGCCACACAGGATCGAAATCAGTGTCTAAGGATCAAGATTGGCGCTCCCACTCTAACTCTAAACGCTTCTCGGACCACGATCATACACACTGCTCCTACGTTCGGCGCTCCCCAGACCCAGACAGGCATCTTAGAAATCCTCTCATGAATCGAGGTCCACCTTGATTTCAGGTGATCAAATTTCAGCTTGTTTCCCCTTGGGATGGTCTTCCTATTACAGAGATCGCCTCCCTATCATAGATTACCATCACTAACATGGAATTTACAGCCAGTGGGAGTATCCACGCCATGACACCTACACAGCGTACCACCTGTGTTATGTATACCTGTACCCACCTGGGTTTGCAGATCTGCTGCAGACCACGCTATCTCCCTGCTTTGTCATCCCACTGCTGACAGATTCCAATACAGTGCCAGACCGCATCACTCTCCCTCCAGGGATCGGTGTTCGTCTCCTGACGTAGATCAGGAAGATCTCCCTCTGTCCAATTTGAGCACTTCACGTCATCGTAGAAGATCACAAAAGAGACTCTTCATTCCGCTATAAACTACATTCATCTCGGGTATTTCGCGTACTATGCTCTCTTTTGGCTTCACTGCATCATCCTTCGAGCATATACTTTTGCTGACCTGCCTCCACCCGCAACGTCCAACCCATACGAGACTCGAACGGTTGCTTCCACCATGGCCTTACACAGTAACTGCATCCTCCCTGCTATCATGGCAAGGTGCTTCTGGAAGTCGGACACTGTTTTTGCCTCTCACTATCTTCCCGTTATCTCAGTCACAGATGTACCAGGTTTCCACAAGTTTGGCCCTTTGATTTTGTCGCAACAACTGTCACAGCCCAGCTAACACAGATAGAAACGTAATGTACACATGATTCTCATTTTGTTTTACAATTGTTTATACATAATAAATCTTTAATCGTTAACCTTGATGTTGAGTGCATTTTTTTATTGTTCGGGTTTCCCAGACCTACGGGGTAGTCTCTTTGGTGGGTGGATTAACTGGTCTGTAGAGACTGTTTAGTCTTCAACAATGACGTCACCGCTAGGCCCGGCTGTTACCATGGTAACAAACCTTTATTCCGCTCACCTCTGTCTTGAGTATTTGTGATGCGGGGTTTTCGTTTGAAGGTCATCTCTGTGGATATTGTCGATCATTCTCCTTCATGTCATGCACACGAATGCGTTTGATAACCTTGATGAAGCGTTAAAAGAGTTACCAAACAATCACACCCAATTGTCTGTGGGAAATAGCTCTGTGTCCTCTTTGAAGAATCAATGCCGGTCCGGGATGTAAGTCGTCAGCCGTTTTGTTTATGTTTCCAGCTACACGAACATTGACATGTGAAAACATGTTCGGCATGTATTCCCGATCTCATGCTGTTTCGTTAAATCCCATCTCAGTTCTTCTAGTCTGATTGCTCTAAGAAAGAGAATGAGGTGACCTGGTTGTTGCACGTTTCCAGATAGGAACGAATAAGAAGGAAGATATGCAAAGTGTGAGATAGGATAAGTATATACCGTATTCGACATAATAAGCGCCCAGGGCGCTCTCATAATTAGAAATGGGGGGCTCTTATTAGAATATTATTTTGGTGAAAAACAACAGAGTTGAAAGATCTTACATTTCGTGGTTTTTGCTGACAGCCTGAAATGTATTTATACGACAGATATATTTTTCCAGAATTTAATTTCCCATAATCAAGGGTGCATATAACATACGTATTTTACAAGAATAAATATGTCTTGTGTACATTGATCAATCGGAAGGGGTGCTAATCGGGATTGTTCACTAGCTAATATATTAGCAAATATCGCCATGGGCGCTTATTAGAGCGGGGCGCTTATTACGTCGAATACGGTATATATTCTATTTGTACTTAAATTTCCAATAATCCCCTGCCATGTTGTGAGATGGGGGATATAGGAACGGAGTTCGATTGTCCGTCAGCTTCTCAAAAGGGATGTATTTTCTCCAAAACTATGAAAGTCAGAGAAATGAAATTTTACACACTGAGATTACTGGTCATGATCTTAAATGAGTTCGAAAACTGGTGTCTTAAATTATTTTTTCCCCAGAGTTATTTCCCTTGTTACATGTTTTTGGATTTTGAGTAGCGTCCCTTAATCCATGTTGGTGTACAAGGTGCAAAGTGTCTGCAATGGGGACAAGTTTTCTCAGTAACTATTGAAGTTAACTTATCTAAGAGATGCTTAACAAGACTGAATTCGAGAATTGGTGCCATAAATGATTATTTCCAGAGAAGGGGCCTTTTGTGTGTATTAATTTCACGTTTAGTCATTTTTTCTGATGACATGAAGGGACCCTAGTGCCTATCTCTTCTTAAGGCTTTATAAGACTTTTGTAATAGTTTATTTTCATTTAATAAAATTCTGATAGTGAAAACGCTGTTTTCTTGTTAAGATTACCTTAGGTAAGAATCATGTTAAAGAGGCAGAGAAATCAAGTTTAGACTTGAAATGGATCAGCCTTGTTCATATTTAACATTAAATTAAAAATGCCTTCGACTGAAATATTGTTTGTATTTTTGTTAAAACTTATATTTCAAGATGATTTAGATATTAGAAAATTTTAGAAATTTAACCATTTCATATTGTTGGAGAAAATAGGTGCCCACTAAGGTAAATGGCCTGTTCTGATATGAAGAAGAAGATTGACGTTAGTGTCTGACGCTCAATGTCTCCATTCCAGATGAGCCATCGCAGCTGTTGTGTGCATCCTGTGACGCCCAGTTTAACAGTGCGTGGTCCCTGGTACAACACTCCCAGGCTGAACATGCTGTCAAGATCTTCAAGACGGTGAGCTGTCATCTTTGTTGCTTCCTTAGGACAGTTCAAGAGTTTCATGTTGGACAGGAAACGCTGAATTCCTTAGATTTTCAGACATAACCCCCACATCTGCCAAAACTTAATTAACATGCTGACGCCCTGCTTGTGATCCTTCCACAAGTTGTGGAGCAAGTTTTGTGGACTGTCACGATATTTTTTTTATTTTGCATTTCTTTCAAATTTATCTTGGAAAGTGTCAAGGAAAGTGACCTTGAGTGTACAGTTATGAGTGTTGTTGATTTTGTCGGATGGAAACGTTGCAGACATGTTTACCACCCCATCCTCTAACTTTAGGAAACAAAATTGTATCCAACATCTAAATTTGAACAACTGCCCACTTAATGAGGTATAAGTACAGAGTGTGTAACCCCTCATTTGTGATGATGGCGCTTTCAATATTTTGAGCCTGTTTAGAGGCTTGCTGTAGATGACTGGTTGTATGGTCACAATTGGAGATGTAACGATATGGTGGGGTCGTGATAAGATATATATCCCACTACTATGGGTGCAATACGGTTCGTATTCCCATACAGTACTTTTATTTCACGAGTTGATATTCTTTCATTTTGCAGGTGAATTACTACCCTAATCATTTGTTATTAAATTTCAAGGATGGGATATTGTAGGGTAGACACGTATAAAACCATGAAACACTAGAGATACTGCAGAGGCTGGTGGTTGAACAGTTTCTGTTACTATTCACATCTTTTACACCAATAATCATTGTTGCCGGTTATAAGAGGCAGCTTGATGGATTAGGTGGTCGGACTTGACGACTTCGTCATTTGTGTGTCATCATATTCAGATAACATTGATCATTGCTCACAATATCAATCAGTGGATTTGATTGTCTGGTTCAGGCTTGATCCTTCACCGCCTGCCGTCATGAAGCTGGAATATTGCTGAGTGGGTGCACACAAGACACTGTGGTGGGGTATCCTGATAGTTGAATCGTTCACTCACCAATCCCAAAGCCTAGGTTTGATTCCCCACATGGGTACAATGTGTGAACTCCATTTCTGGTGCCATGGTTGTCGTAAAAGGCAACTCTGCTTGTCGTAAGATGTGACTAATGGGATCGGGTGGTCAGGCTTGCTGACTTGGTTGATGCATGTCCTTGTATCTAAATAGCGTAGATCGATGCTCATCATGGTCCAGAGTTTATTCTTTTACAGGCCGCCGTCATATAAGTGGAATATTGTTGAGTGTGATGTTAAACAACAAACAAACAAACATTTCTGGTTTCCCTCTTGTAATATTGGGGGCACGGGTGTCCCAGTCGTCTGAGGCGCCGCAATTCGCTGTGCAGAGTTGTGTCCCTTGGGCACGCCAGAAACCTATGATTGTGGTTTCGAATCCCGGTTCGCCCCGATTATGTTTCTGGGTTTGTCAGCACCATACCCGTGCTCGTGGGTTTCTACGAAGTGGTAAACGTCTGTGACCTGCATCACTTCAGGCTTTCCTCCCACATTAAGCTGACATGCCGTGATATAACTGTAATACTGTTAAAAGCGGCATTAAACCCAACTCACTCACTCACTCTTGTAATAATGATGGAATATTGCTCAAAGATGTGAACCCATACTCACTCTCTTCCACTCACTCCATGACACCTGAAACTCATGTGACATGTTGTTTATTGTTTCAGGACGATGACAAGGAAGAATCAGGCAAGAGTGAGGAAAACGGTGACGACAGCACGCTTCAAAACAAGACTGGGACAACAAAGAAATGATCCTGTTCTCTAGTTCATTCATCATTTGGTGTAAATTTCAGATGTCATGCCATGTTCTTCAAGCTTGTCACTGGTGTCATCCCCCATCAGCAACAGATGACACTGTGGCAAGTGGTCATACCTGTTTGGTTCCATTCCGTTGTGCGTTCATCTCGGAACACTGGCTCTAGATCTACTTTTGAATGTATGGCACTATTACAAATCCCAATTGATATGAGAAACATGTTTCATCTCCAAATGCACACAAGCTTCAATACTTCAGTCTTGTATACACTATCCCCCTCCATCACCCATGAATACAGAGGACTGCTTTGTGGTGTACTTGCTAGTTTAAACCCAACAATGTAGCACAACTCTGTTCCAAGAGGGACACCAGTGAGTGCTCCGATTACAGTGTGTTGTGACTGTCCGCTCTATGCTGGCATCAGTGTCAGGCAGTGGTAGCGTTCACACAATCTTCTAGTCGGTCATACTCATTCTGAAACAAATATATCCAAAACAGCCTATGCAAGTCTATAATGTTTGGCAAGTCTAGATTACTGCAATATCAGAAAATGAAGAAAGTCTCTGGGCTCCTTTTTGTTATATTTTTTAACTTTAATTTAGCTACTGTTTTTTTCTGTTAAAATGTTCATTTCAGAGACTAGATTTAAGTCTAACAATGTTCATGCACAAAGTAGGGCCTAATTAGCATCATGAGCCAGCAAGGACCTCAGTTCATTAGCTTACTAAAAATTAGGGGTGAAACGATACAGCAAGGTCACGATCTATTCATATCATGATACATAGGTCACGATCTATTCATATCATGATACATAGGTCACGATCTATTCATATCATGATACATAGGTCACGATCTATTCATATCATGATACATAGGTCACGATACGATAAGAATACACATATTTACATCAAATTGCCTTTAAACCTCTTACTATAAATATTTCACATATTCGTAATGGGTATTTTTAGTAGTGAACTTGAAACACTAATTACAACACATTTTGCGATATTTGACTGACAATAAGGATGTGGTATTTAAACGAGTAGTGGTAATTAATTTTAGGAAGTGTATCATATTGTATCAATACAGTAAAAAACATATCGTGTATCGTATCGTCACATGAAAATTCACAATGCACTGATGCACCGTATATCATTTCACCCATACTGAAAATAGAGAGTGTGCAACGACTCCCTGGAATAGTGGTGTACATATTCGCGAGTGTTGGTGAATATAGTCTATACAACCCCATGGAGTATTGATGACAGCACTGAAGCAACACTGTATATACACTGACCCTCACCAGTGGGCTCATTTCACCGTAGAAGTTTTTGCCAAAATATGATTTTATCTTGTGCTTGTCATGTCACTAGATTGTCAAATCTTGCGATTTTAGCCTGATTTCTGGTCTTGAATGTAATAAATGCATATTGTATTGACTGGCCTGTACTTCAAGTCATGTTTGTAGAACTGGATTTATACGTCATCCTTGTATAGAACACTCTTTCTTTAATTTGTTTGTATACCTACTGAGGAACCAGACAATCCAGTGATTGACATCATGAACATCGATCCACGCAACTGTCATCGATCCCAAATGCGTGGATCGATGCTCATGACGTCAGTCACTGGGTTGTCTGGTCCAGACTCAGTTATTTACAGACCCCCATCATATAGCTGGAATATTGCTGAGTGCGACGTTAAACACCAAACAAGCAACAACCTAGTGCTACAATGAGAGGATGGAGGCAGGCTGTATGTTTACGGCTGTGTATTCAAGAATTGTAATGGCAGCTTGTCATGGGGGAGTTTAGCTGCAGTCGATACATAGAATACTGTCACACATGCATGTGATTAAGTGATGTATTATGATTAACTTTCACAACTTCATCACACCCAGGTAGGATGGGGAGGAAGGACTGTGGGTGTTTATTACTTTGCTCAATAGTAGGCAAGATCGGTACTTGTGTGCTGGATGACCATCATTTCACTCCCATTTCAACAGTCATAAAAACTTTCCTACTTACTGCACATAGCACTTAAGGGTATGTTACCATAGTTACACAAGTATTATATTTTGGGTAAGTTACATTTCATAAGATGGACCAGTGAGATCTGTGCAGATTATCTTAATACATGTAGTGTGATGCTCTGAAAGACATCTTCACCAGTAACAGTATTTTTCTCCCAAATTTTCTACAGTGTCAAATTAGTGACAAGAAAACCTATTTTTCATGGTGGGGGTGTGGTTGTGATTTTCTTGTAAGACTTGCATGGAAGGCATAAAAGACAGGAATATGCCTGGAAACAACACTCCCTCAAAGAGAAAAGATTATTTTCTGCCTGAAGGCGATTATAATTCAAATGTCAAACAAACATACTTTGGACGGACACAAAGCGATGAAAAAAAGGCCAACTGCTTGCCCACATGAAATGTATAAGAGTTATTTTTTTAGAACCAATTTTAAGCCTGAGTTAAGCCAGTTTAAGCACGAGTGAAGCAATGCTTTTCTCACTTACTCTGTGTCTCCGCAGTGTTTTGTTATTTTCAATGTCCAGTATTTAGAGGCGTCACAGTAATCAGACTAGCTACTGCTGTATGACCCAATAATGATATTAAGCATTGTTACAAATCAAAAAATGTAGTTTGTGCAATTTTAAATTCTTTTCTTTTCATATCGTAGTGTACATTTGTCATTGTCCCATGTAAATATGTTAATTGTCATCTCACAAGTTGTAAGAATGGGAGCATGTTCACGTGATGTCAGCGGTTTCCAGGTAGTCGTTGGGGTAAGGACGAATTCTCACCAGGGTTTTTACATACAGCATGGGGTAATTCAGATTAATCTTTTTATAACAGATTGTCATTCGTAAATGGGAACTGAAAAATGCTATTAACAGAATGAAATTAACTTTTTGCACAATTTCCTGTATTAATTTGTTTTTGAGGCCAATTATAGCTTCTTCTTTTTTATCTGAGGTTGCCCCATAATGGGTCAGGGGTATGGAGGGGGGGGGGGGGGGGGGGGGGGGGGGGGGGGTTGTTGGTAGCCCAGTGGGTAAGGTGTCATGCCAAAGGCCTGGTTCAATTCCCCAATGGGTACAATATGTGAAGCCCATTTCTGGTGTCCACTGCCACGATATTGCTGGAATATTGCTAAAAGTCGTGTTGGACTCTCCCACTCACTCACAGTGGGAGTGATGACCCTGCTTGGAGCTGCAGGAATCACAATGGTCATGTGCTACAGTGGCTCCTGAACAGTTTAAAGTTACGCTTAAGAATAAAAGGACAGTTTTATTAATTGTCTGGTTTTGTTGAACATTTTGTGCAAGGTAAGGCTAGGTCTTTGTGTGTTAGTCCAGGATGGGTAGCCTAAGGGTCCTGTGTTTGTTATGCTCCAAGGACCTGAGTTCAATCCCCACTTGGGTGCAGTGAAACCCATTCCTGCTGAACATTCCTACAAACATGAAGAACATACCCATTCAAACAAATGAACCTCACAGTTACTGCAGGTTACCATAGTTACCAGAATTTACGTAGTCTAACTTGAGCTGGCATGTGACAGTTTGTATTTACATATCAAACAGGTGTTGAATAACTCACTCACTCACTCTCCACATGCTGTCTGCTCCATGACAACAGGAACTCTTTTAGAAAGCAAAGTCATATTCAAATGGATGCGTTCATACATGTCGTTAACAAATGTGTATGTTGATCAAATAAGTTAGCAAGCCACCAGTGTGTGAAACCCAATGAGATAACGCTTGGAAAACTGTTTACTTAAACTGCCAGTGGCTTGAGAACTTGTGTACATATCCACAGATAATAGTATTTTATGAATAATTTTCATACCATATAACTTCCTTATATATATATATATACACACACGAAACTATTACACCTGTCGTAGGTATGTTAAGTCTCAAGTGACTCGTCACTACATGATGCCTTGTGAATATTTGATATCGCCATGGAAATGATACACTTTCCAACTGCCAAGTATAATAATATACCACACATGAACTTGAGGCCCCAATATTGTAATTATTAGAAATTATCCAAATGTTTCAAAAATGTGAGGCAGGTGCCATTTTGTTATGCGGGTTTTGTTCAAGGCATGTGTGTACATTGACTGTCAATGGAGGTGATTCACATGAAGTTTCACACGTTTGGTAGAGCTGTGTGTGAGGTGCAATTTAAGTAAAGGAAGTAGGGTACAGAGCAGATATCTTCGTGTGTTTGGGGACAGTAAACTGTGAGGCAAGGTCTGGATCAACATGTAATATTTTTGACCCACCAGGAGATGAGGGACTCATGGGTGAAAAATCACATTTTGACTTTTCATAATATTTTGAAACTACGGTAGCTTAGGAACACAAAAATACAACTCTCAAGCTTCAATTCATATTTAATACAGAGATACATGACATCAAACATTTAGACTCATTTTTCAACGAATAACTGTTTATGTAATAATTACTGTTCTTGGATATGTCTGATGAATTGAAAGTCGACATGTTTGCTGAAATGTTTTGAAATAATGTTTTTATTACATTACGAACTAACGAGAGAAAAATAAGATATTTTTTTACAGTCGGTACACATGGTGATCCTCACTGAAGTAAGTTGACGTCACAGCATAATTGTATCCTAGCACCGATAAGGTCCCTCTTGTCCTGGTGAGTCACATTTAATGTATTATGGCCTGAGTGCTTTGAGTTCTGTAACAGTGAGATATTTCCATGTACCTACCAAGTGCTAACTAGTCTTGTGTGATACTGATGCAAATGTCTGTTAGTATGTCAAGGTTAGAAATGTTTCTGGGAATTCTTGTCATGGTCCTTTCCGTATCTGTGAAATTATCTGTCCCGTGACCATCTGCATTGTTTTGTTAGAAAACTGGTACGTTGTGTGTCGTGTCAGACTCACGATTTTACAATGCTGTACATTTGTATGTCTTAATGAACATTATGTTTAGTATTTGCATAAAAGTAATGACTGTTCCATCAATCATTCTTCAAATGTTTTGGTAAGAAAGACTTGTTGAGAACAAGTTACGACATGATTATTAACCATAGTCTCATGTTTCTCAACAAATAACTTGCTTTAAGTTTTTCTTGTATGTGGTTGAAAGGTTTTTTCATTGTATTTTCAGTAGGGCAAAGACAGTTCCAAGTGGTGATGATGATAATGCTTGAATGTGGAGTCATTATTTGCCTGAAGGAACCTCTTCTAGATTATTAATGTTAACATTCCCAAATGAGCGTGAAAGATAGTCACAGTGTATCAGATGTTGAGGGACACAGGTGGCCCAGTGATCAAGGTTCTGCATCACCCTGTGCAGAGTTGCTTCCCTTGGCAATGTTTTATCTCATGGTTGTGGGTACAAATCCTTGTAATCCTCGGTCTGTCTACACCAAACTCTTGCTGGTGTGTTTTCAACAATGTTGTAATCATCCCAGGGCGGATCCAGCATGTTTAGAGGGAGGGGTCCAAAATATCAGAAACCTCTCTCAGTCAGTTGTACTGCCTACAACATACTACATTTGGTTTTCAAGGTGGGTGGTGGGATGGGTGGATGGGTGGTGTGGTGGGGTGGGGTGTTTATGCTATCTTCCAGCTGAATTGGTGACTAGTCTCAATTTATCAGTTTCATCCAACATTGTCATATTGTGAATGCTGTTCTTTAAATTCTGTTGAGAAAGATTTGCTACACACCAGAAAAGTCAAAACACTTGTTAAGTATAGGATGAGACATGTCAAGTATGAGATAAGGCTTGTCAAGTTTGAGGTAAGGCATGTCAAGTATGAGATAAGGCATGTCAAGTATGAGGTAAGGCATGTCA